TTGGCAACTCTCTGACGGAGATGTTCTCAGAGTCATACTTGTCACTCATGGACCTGAAGAGCACTCCCTCATCATCGCCTACCATCACATTGCTATGGATGGCGTGAGCATGCATCTCTTCCTGCGAGATCTCAACTCCGTATACATGGGACACAAGCTCAATTCGTCACCGAAGCAGTACATGGACATCTCAGTCGAGGAACGAAGGGCCATAGAAAGCGGCCAGATGGACGACAGGATCTCGTACTGGACCAAATTGCACTCACCAAGTGCAGACACTCTTCCACTATTCCCATTCGCTCGTGTCAAGTCACGGCCTATTCCCAAGACGTATCATAACGTCGAGTCTCTCATCGACATTGGAAGCGAGCTCTCGGACCAGATCAGGCGAGCAAGCCAGTCTCTGCGTATCACTCCTTTCTACTTTTACCTTGCCGCGCTGCAAACACTCTTCAACAAGCTTTTGGGTGTGGAGGACATCTGTATCGGTGTCACAGATGCGAACCGCAGCGAAAGCAGCTTACAGACCATCGGCTTCTTCCTGAACTTACTGCCCCTTCGCTTCGACATTCAGAAGGATGTGAAGTTCTCAGATCTAGTGATGAGAACAGCTCGGCATTATCGAACAGCACAAGCCAACATCGGAGTTCCTTTTGATGTCATTCTCGACAAGGCGAACGTCCCTCGAGAGTCAACCAGTACACCACTCTTCCAAGTCGCCATGAACTATCGACAAGGAAACTTCTCCAAAATCCCGCTTGGTGGAAGCAACCTGCAGTTCAAGGATGGCTTTGATGCTCAAAGTCCTTACGATCTTGCTTTTAGTGTTACGCCCAACAAGGACACGACTTACGTACAAGTTGTTGCAAGAGAAGATTTATATACGAGAGAAGGGACCGACACTCTATTATCTACATATCTGGCATTGTTGCACGATGCATCGCGAGATGTAAGCAAGACGTTGGAGACCATCAGCCTTTACAATCAAACCGGTATCGACAAGGCACTATCGCTCGGGTATGGGGATGTGGTGGACTACGAATGGCCCTCAACGCTAACAGAGAAGATGAATGAGGCTATCAAGAGGAACCCTCATGATGCCGCTGTCAAAGATGCCGATGGTCAGCTCACCTATGGAGAACTTGCGGTCAGGGTCAACAGCCTTGCTTCAACCATCCAGTCTCAGCTCCAGCCTGGTTCAGAGGTAGCTGTTCTCTGCGAGCCGACCGCATGTTGGGTCATCTCCATGTTGGCCGTCATCCGTTCAGGTTGCGTCTATGTTCCTTTGGATAGCAAGTTGCCTGATGAGCGACTGAAGGTCATTCTCCAGGCTGTCGGACCTGATCTGATACTCTGCGAAAGCTCTACCAAGGAGCGTGCTTACCACCTCTCGAATGGGGCGCCTGTCCTTTCGTTGACTGACATGCCCAACTCGACCCAGGCCATTACTGCAGCAAACCTAGAGAGTGAGAATGAAACGACTTTCGTCCTTTTCACAAGCGGTTCGACAGGTACGCCAAAGGGTATCAGACTCTCTTCACGGGGAATCATCAACTATGTCGCCACCAAGAGCTTGAAGCTCTCTCTCCGTCGAGAGGTTGTTCTTCAGCAGAGTGCTCTTGGCTTCGACATGTCCCTTGCCCAAGCTTTCATGGCTCTCGCACTTGGTGGTACACTGGTAATAGCGCCTTGTGAAAGTCGTGGTGATCCTTTCGCCTTGAGTAAGCTCATGATTGATGAGCGAGTCACATTCACGTTGGGAACTCCCACTGAGTATCTCATGCTCATTCGACATGGAGGTCAAACTGTGAAGGCAGTGCAATCTTGGCGACACGCGACTTCTGGTGGTGAAGCCATCACTGCTCAGCTGAAGACGGCTTTAAAGACGTTGCAACATCCTCCAGCTCTCACCGATTGTTACGGGCCCACTGAGATCTCATGCTGCGCTACCATGAAGACTATTGACCTCTACAATGATGGAGACGACAGTATTTACTCGTCTGTTGGTCCAGCGAACCCCAACACTTCCATCTACATTCTTGATAAGAGTGGGCACGTCGTTCCGCAGGGACTCACTGGTGAGATCTGCGTTGGCGGCGTTGGCGTTGCGCTCAGCTATCTCGACGAAAAGTCAACCTCGCAGAAGTTTGTACCGAACCCGTTTGCGACAGCTGAGCATACTGAAAAGGAGTGGAGTACGATGTATCGTACTGGAGACAAGGGCCTCATCCGTGCTGATGGCGATCTTCAGTTCATGGGCCGTATGGACGGTGATACGACTGTCAAGCTTCGTGGGCTACGCGTCGATCTTAATGATGTCGCCAACGTCATGCTACAGCAGTTCAAGGATTCTCTCGAGGATGTTGTTGTCACTGTCCGTGGTGATCCAGCTTTCCTCGTTGCGCATGTTGTGCTGACCCCGGGAACTTCTATGGATGCCTCGAAATTGCAAGAGTTGGCGAGTACCTTACCACTTCCTCAGTACATGAGACCTGCATTGGTCACAGAATTGGAGAAGCTGCCATTGAATAGCAGTGGAAAGGTTGATCGTCGTGCTATCGCAGCCTTGCCTCTACCTACAACACCCGCATCATGTGAGCCTTTGAAGAAGGTATCGAACCGAAAGCCAACGCTTGTTGAAGGAGAGTTGAGACTCATTTGGCATAACGTACTATCTCAAGCGGGACTTGTCAACAGAATGAGACTTGAGCCTGGCACAGATTTCTTCCGCGTTGGTGGCAACTCCCTACTTCTCGTCAGGCTCCGAAGTGCAATTGAGATCTCGATGGGCGTTACGCTGCCTCTCAGCGACATGTACCGCTTTAGCACGCTGGCCGGAATGGCGGGTCTGATTACGCAGCAGAAGGGCTCTGACAATGTGCCCGAGGTGATTGACTGGGAGGCCGAGACAACTTTACCACTGTCTATCGACTTGAAATACTCGAGCGATACAATTCCTGTCAGGACAGAGTCTGGTCTTGAGATTCTCATGACTGGCTCAACATCAATCCTGGGGAAGCAGATCCTCCAGTCTCTCTTGAGCCGACCGTCAGTCGCACGCATCCACTGCATCGCTGTTGACCCAGACTCTGAGGTCAGTCACCCCAAGGATGATCGCGTCACGGTGTATCCTGGCAGCCTGAGTGAACCCATGCTGGGACTCAAAAGAGAAACGTACCAGCAACTTCAAGCAACTGTCGACAGTATCATTCTCGCGGGATCTCAAGGGCATTGTCTCAACAACTATTCAACCCTTCGTGCACCTAACGTGGAGTCGACGCGACAGATGGGTCTCTTCGCTCTTGGTCGCCGGGTTCCTATTCATTACATCTCATCAAGCCGAGTTACGCTGCTCGACCCCAACACAGATGCTGCCCTTCCACCAGTTAGCGTTAAAGACTATCAACCTCCTATAGATGGATCAGAAGGGTTCACAGTAGCCAAATGGGCAGGTGAAGTATTCCTAGAGACACTATCAGAAGCAGCAGCAGCGAATTCAGAGAGGGATCTGCCTGTCTCAATCCATCGGCATTGCGCTATTGTAGGTGACGAGGCTCCTATCGAAGATGCACTCAACGCCTTGCTGCGATATTCCAAGTTTGTCAATGCTGTACCACGTGTGTCGAGCCTGAATGTCGGCGGTTACTTTGACTTCCTCCCTGTCGCGGATGTCGCCGACTCCTTTGCTGAGTTTGTCGTATCCTCTCAAGGAACGCACTCGGGCGTGGCTTTCAAGCATTACTCGAGTGGTGTCAAGGTGCCGCCAGCAGATTTCGCTTCATACATGCAAAAGACATACAGGGGCGAGTTTCGGGAGCTGGATTTGGACGATTGGATTGAGCAGGCGAGGAAGGAAGGAATCGAAGAGCTAATTGTATTGTATTTGCAGGCTATCGTGGAGAAAGGACAACGGATAATATTTCCGTACATGGGGAATAAGGAGTAGACATTGTATACTAGGATAACTCATATTGGAACACACTTTACGCCTTCTTAGCCACTACAACAACAAAGTTGGGGTCCTTGAGATAATCCTCCCAGAACTCGCGGTCATTCTTGACAAGCTCCGTCTCCTCGGCTGGGGCAACATGTATCTCAACCAGTCCGAGTTCCTTTCCGATGTCATCAGAGAGCGAGAAGGTCGATTCCATTGAAGTTGCCTCAAATGAGAACGGTGGTTCGGTCACACAGTTGACCTGGTACCTCAGTCCGCCAGGGATCTCCGTGACATCGGTAAAGGTGACACCGTATTTTCCGTAGCTCATGTAATTGGCGCGGATGCTCTTTGACCTCACGCAGATGAACTTTCCGCCAGGCTTCAAGCTCTTGACGACATTCTCATACATGCTTCTCAACTCTGAGACGGAGGTGGCATGATCGAAAACCCAATTGGCCATGACGATGTCGTATCTCTCCTCCAACTTGACTTGCTCTGCGACCGGCTTGGTGACATCAGCTTCGAACCAACGAATGCGATCCTTTCGTCCAAGGCTCTGCTCAATCTCCTCACCCGCTTTCATCATCTCAGGCGATATGTCAACAACATCAACAACACTAGCCCCGGCATCAATCGCCCTCCTCGCATGAAGTCCGCTTCCACCGCCAAGATCCAGTACCTTCAAGCCAGTACAATCCCCCAAAGCATTCCTCACAAGCTGCCCCTCCAGTTTCGAACAGGGCAATTCCTCCACAGACGCATACTTGGGCGCGAACGAATCGTATTGCGTTTTCTCTGCGTGAGACATGCTGGGCATAGACACTTGATAGTGATTGGTTTGTTGGCCGTTGATTTGCGTGTTGGTTCTGACAATATCACTCAAAACCCCGCTCTGGGCCTTGAATATCGACAGGGATGTTGCGATCCTGATCTAGCCGCTATGATGCTAGTATGATGTTATCGTGATACAGACTGGAATGTGACTCTTATCACACGTGACTGGTGACAGATCATCCGTCTCCAAACCCCACTCGTGCCGACCGCCATTTCGACCTAACTTAACGTCAAACACTAAATCGAACCCTTGACGATGTGCGCAGACGAGGACCCCCTTGCTGTTGATGAGCACGTATGCATCAACTGTGACTGAAACCCTCTAGGGTCTTGCTAATCAGTTGATAGGCGGCTCAGGACGACACTGATGCTGACTCCGCCCTCGGAGACGTAAGTGGATATTTTCAGGAAGATCGCGGTAGCTAATGTCTGATAGGACACCGGTAGCGATACTACATCACTAAGATCCAGTATTTTGAGGTATCGTGAGGAGAATGGCAGGACTTATCATGCTTACAAGGATGGAGGTAAGATCTGATGTGCAGCAGATGCGACAAGAAGTTGAACTAATTGACACAGCTTATGCACTTCCTAATGACGAGGTATGCTTTTTTCACTTTACATAGTAATTAGTACTGACCTGGTATAGATTGAGAACGAACGATTAGGTACACCATACCTTCCCTTCTCACTTACCTTTCTAATCAGATAACCCCGCAGATCTTCAACATCATCTCTTTCTGCTCACTTTCGACGAAAGACTACACGCAGCTCCCTTGCCCAAGACGCTCAACCGCGCTTTTGATGCGGGCTGTGGCACTGGAATCTGGGCCATCGAGTTTGGTGAGTACTGCAAGCTACATAACAACGAGCATGACGTTAACAAATTGGACAGCTGATGAGCATCCCGAGTGCGAGGTGAGTTTTACGAGGATGACTTGGGAGTCTATTACTGACTTTTCAGGTCATTGGCGTCGACTTGAGTCCGATTCAGCCTTCGGTGTATGTATTCATTCTCGTGGTAACGGAACGTACTGACATCTCAAAGCATTCCCCCCAACGCCTCGTTCTATGTAGACGATCTCGAGGAGCCATGGGACTATTCTAACAAATTCGACTTTGTCTTTGCTCGCTTTCTCACAGGCTCCATTCTCGACTGGCCCAAGTTCTTCAGCGAAAGCTACAAGTATGCCAGCTCCTCTCCCGTACCATTTTCATCAAGTCTAAAACGTATCAACAGCAACCTCAACCCTGGAGGCAGAATAGAGATGATCGACATCATCTATCCTCTCCTCTCCGACGATGACACTCTGACAAAAGACTCAGCACTATCCAAGTGGTCAGAACTTCTACACGATATTTTCACCAAGAATGGTCGTTCTATGGATAGTGCGTTGAAATACAAGGATCAACTTGAGGCAGCGGGCTTTGTAGATGTGAACATTGTGAAGCGCAAGTGGCCTTTGAACAGATGGCCCAAGGATCCCAAACATAAGCAGATTGGTCAGTTAGCCCCGTCAAGAACTTCCTATCAGCAGCTACTAAAGGTGTTGACAGGTACCTGGGCCCAGCAGAACACTCTAGATGCGTTGGCAGCTTTAAGTCTCGCTGTCTTCACACGCCCTGATGGTCAGGGCGGACTTGGCTGGAGTAAAGAGGAAGTCGAGGTTTTTCTGACAGATGTGCGAAAGGATATTAAGAATGTCAATATTCATTCCTACTGGCCGATGTAAGTCTCAGACGAAACAGTTAAGTGTGGTACTAATGGTGAATAGTTGGTCGGTGTATGCTACGAAGCCAGAATGAAAATCCAGCGTTGGAATAGCAGCTTTGTTTAAGGCAGATATCAACCTTCCGCGTGCGTCTGGGTAGTTCAGCGGGGAAACAGCATCAGCATTTTGAATCTCAAAAGTGTAGATTAGTCGGTTATTATCTATCCAGTTCTGTTCTTCTCTTTAGAGGAAGTACTCAAGCAGCGAATCGCTTGTTCACTAGATGCACCAGTCTTTGCAGTGCTAAATGAGCCAGAACAGTGGTTGGTACGAAATTGTTCTCCCTATTGTTCTATGGCCTCTAGGCTAAGAGGTCGGGAATAACTATTATGGTCCTAGGGATCTTGCTGAGAGAGGTCTGGGTGGATTCGTTCCAACATGCCCTTGGCAGCGGCCATCTCTAGAGGAAGAGCGCAGAGCCAGCCAACGGTGTACTCTTCCAATGCAATTGCTTCATCGTCTTCGGGCATAGTTACTGTTTCATAAATGAGTTTAGTACGATGCGGTAAACAGCGAGATTGGCAGGTTTGCTTGAAGTAAATTAAGGAACACAGCGAGAAGCCGTCAGAGCGCGTACGAACAGAATTGATTGGCCAGCCGATAAAGTGAGACGAGAAATATGCGCACTGTCAAGGGTCTATTGCCTTTGGTCAATCGGGTACAGTACAACTTCTCACCTCATCAAATGAGAGAAGAGAAAAGGGATAATATAACAAGTAATTTCTACAGAGAATAGCGGTGGCATCCCTGCTCAAATACCACAGTCTCTAGCTTTTAAAAGGCTCTTCTATGAAACAAGCCACCAAGTTGTTTTTCGTCTCACTTCTTCCATATTTCAGATTTCCACAGCTTTCTTTCGTTTTCAATATCATCCATTTTCTCTTGGAAGTCCTTCCTCACTTCATTCAGGATCTGTCGAGCAGACTTTCCCTCTGCATTTAGCTTATCCACCAGACATCCTTCATCGCCTTGAAGCCTTCGAAGTATGTCACCCATGCTTTTGTACTTTTCTTTCATTACGCCAGGCCAAAACATCCCGTTCGCAGCTTCATGGAGAGGCGTATTTCCTTTCAGATTCTTTGCACCTATGTCTGCACCATGATCAAGCAGAAATTCGATGGCATCAAGATTCTCTAGATTCTTGACTGCCGAGTGCAGTGGCGTATTACCATTGTCGTCTGTATCTGTAACCTTTGCTCCGTGACCGAAAAGAATTTCGATAGCGGCTGTATCGATTGGCAGTCCCCCATCATAGGAACATAGACTATGCAACGCTGTTTCGCTCTTCTTGTTGCGAATACTGGCATCAGCACCTCTGTCACAAAGATACTGAAAGATAGCCGTGTACTCATGTCCGTAATTGCTGTAGTTCATGGCTGCATAGTGTAGGGGAGTATTTCCGTAAATATCCTGTGAATTGATCGTCTCTGGGTTGCAGTCCAACAGCAGGCCAAGAATCGTGATGATTCGTTGCACTTTCTCCGCCATAATCTTTTCAGCCACCTCCCGAGGATCTTCTTCTATTGATACTCGACAAGCCCAGTGGAGGGCCATGTTTCCCCAACTATCGCGATAAGATACTGTGTCTGCCACATGTCCGGCTCTGTTTGCGCAATCAAGCAGGATTGTAAGGGCATCAACATTCGCATATCGACTGGCGGTAGAGATGATTGTTATATCCACGCGAGATGTGACCTCTGTATCCTCTCTTAGCTTGATGTCAGGATCAGCGCCACTCTTAATGAGGCGTTGCGTCAAATCAGCCCCTGCCCACCCTGCAGCCAGGTTCAAGACCGTAAAAACTGGAACCTGCTTTGCTATGTACTTGCCAGTAATGGGGTCAAGAAAGCTGTCCCACGAGTATTCGACGTCAGAAGCACGGGCGCCTCGATCAAGCAACCAGTCGATGACCGCTTTTTTTCCCTCAATATTATCTTTCCAATCAAAAGTGTTGGTAGCTGCCATGATCGGAGTGAATCCATTATATTTATAGTGGATATCAGCGTCAAGAAGAGGGTGATCGAGCAGAAGCTTGACTGCCTCAAGTCGGCCACATTGAGCTGCCGTGTTCAACACTCGACAGCAACGGCCATCAAGATCAGTTCTCCCACTGGGCTTCATGAAGTTAGAGTAGTGATCCAAGAGTATTTTGAGCGCGTCAATACTCTCGTGTCGAGCTGCGACAATAAACGGGTCATAATACATGCCGAGAGCATGACCTCTCTTGATAGCCCAAGGGGCGTTTTCCAAATACTTCTTCAAAGCTGCTGTATCATTACGCTCGATAATTGCAGTGCGAAGGGGGAAGAATTGCTTTTCGTATAGGGTCGATCCATCTGTATCGATTATTGTTGGGCGTATCCCGGCTGGACTTTCTGGCTCGTGAAGAATGCCATTTTCACATTCACGAAATTCTTCGTAAGGCGACATGGCTACAATTGTGGAGGCCGTTTTCCCCCGAGGTTAGATGGCTAAGTAATCTTGACCTAAAGAACGAATAAATACAAGAAAACAATGGTAGAAATATACATAGAAAGCCTTCTGGCAGTATGGTAGACTATCTTCCATTGTGTCGCTATAAATCATCCTCACAAACTACCCTGGATCATCTCAGTTCAACCATGCAACCCGATGAGTCAGGCCGCCAATTTATCCGAATAATAGCCCGAAGTTCATAACACGCGTAAGCTGCTAACCGAGCTTACAAGACCCTGGAAAGCATTTGTCATAACGAATTATTGCATCAAGTAACCCACTGGAACGAGAATTTCCGGGAGTATTAGCCTATTATTTACGAGACCAAGCTTCCGGGATTGGGGACCCGGGGAGTCGGGTAACTGAGCTTGGGTCCTGAGTGGTCACGAACGTGTTACTAAGACGAGGCTAGCTAGCCGATCATAATAATCCTTGACGCCAATCGATTTTATCGTGAACATTGAGCCAATGATTCAACCCAGGCAGAGTCAGAAAATGGCTTTTATCAGCAAAGACAAGAGGAGTATATATAGCAAGAGTCTATTAGAGACTACGGATACTCATGTTCTTGTTCTACTCAATAAAACATAGTCATGGCTGGTAGCTGCGCTCTGCGGCTACGGCCCCAAATTCCGTCATCCGTATCATCGCTAAAATCTTTAGTCTCGGCCTAATGAACCGGAAGCGATCGCTTCATTTAGATTTCAGGCTCACCGCAAGCTAGCGATAGCGGAAGCTGAAAAATTCCGGGTTCACGCTAAGAAGGCGGGGATCGATGCTCCATATATCGTCCCATCTTCATCTTATCCCTCGATTCCGATGTTGTTGATCAAATTATACATCATACCTTGACTCCCATGACCGCCTTCTGTCCGTTTTGACAGTCTGAGCTCTTTACATACGAACCATTTGGGAAGATTCACGCTGAACAGTGTCAGTCAACATGAGCCATTTACCGACGGCTATTCCCCAAGGCTCATGGGTCCTCGTGACAGGAGCGAATTGTTACACCGGCAGCCATGTGGTCATAGAGCTTCTGAAGCAAGGCTTCAAAGTGCGTGGGACAGTGAGAGATCTCTCATATAGCAAGTGGCTCCTCGAGCACCCATCTGTGAAGCCGCACACAGACGAAGGAAAAGTGGAATTGGTTGTCGCAAACACATCAAAGCCCGGAGATTTCGATGAGGCGGTGAAAGGTGTCTCGGCTATTATTCATCTCGCCAATATCGGTGACTATACACCAGACCCCAACGCTGGCTTTGCATCAGCTACCGAAGCTGCCTTGACCGTGTGCCGATCTGCTGCCAAGGAAGCTTCAGTCAAGCGATTTGTGGTAGCAGCTGGACTATGGTCGGCAGTATGGCCCAAGCCCGGGGAGACAAAGAGCATCGGGAAGGATACGTGGAACGAGGATTTGGTCAAGGTCGCACAGGCGCCGCCACCATATGAGTTGAGCCGTATTCTTCCAGTATACCTGGCTGCCAGAGTTGACGCCGAGAAGGCGGTATGGAAGTTCGCGAAAGACGAGAAGGTTCCTTGGGAAGTCAATTCGGTTAGTCCTTGTTGGACTCTGGGCGATCCTCTGGATGCGAGACACTATGGGCCTATGCCTACCCAGCTCTTGCAGCAACTATACCTTGGCAAGACAGATGCCCTGAAGGAGAACACAACGGGTAAGTTGACAGAGATATGGATAAGAGTCTCGGAAAAGCTGACGAGATAGTCTATTACACTCACGTCTCCGACGCAGCTGTCATTTACGTGGCAGCAGCTATCGACCCAGATGTCAAAGGCGCTCGCATTCCAGCACTGGCCAAGTCTTTCAACTGGAACAACGTTTTGGCTATCATGCGCAAAGCATATCCCGAGGAAGACTTTGAAGACGACTTTGTTCCTGGAGACCCTGTTTTAAGCTACAAGATTGAGAACGATATTGCACCCGAGCTGCTGCAAAAGTGGGCTGGAAGGGAGTGGATCAGTCTCGAGAAGGGAATTACAGAGACCATCGACTTTTCAAGGAAGCTGGGCAACTTGGACTAGTCCGGGAACTCGAGATGATGAGGTATATGTTGGAAAAGCTTTGAATGTCTTTATGTAACGTATGATCTGGACTTTGACAGGATTCAGAGGAACGAAAACTTATGGAAACGAGATATACAACTTCAACCCACGCCGGAGAAGGACATAGAACGTAGAACGTTCTGCATATTGTAAATACGTAGATGATGTCCTAAGCTTTGCTTGCAGGCTCTTCCAGTGGCTTTCTTCCGTAAACCACGTAACTATAAATACCAATGTCAGCAGAAGGTCGTAGTAGGATCAAGCGTAGAGAGGGGCTTACACCGGGATATAAGCATGTATACTTCGATCGCGCAGCTGCTTTCTCATCGCACTGCAGAACACGCGGACCTCATCCGCACTCCAGCCCAAGAACCTCGTAAACAATCCAAGCAACAGACCCTCCAAGCCATTGTTAATGTTAGCATAAGACCACTTTCCCAGTTCCTTATAGTGCTTGTCCTTGGGCCACTCGTTAATAGGCCACTTGAACTGCTTCTCCACCACATCAACAAACCCAGCCTTGTCAAGGAAGGTCTTGTACTTGGGAGCAAGATTAATGGCTCTTCCTGCTTTGGCACTGGCTTCGATGCTAAGAAGACCGGAGCGGAGAACTTCGCAGTCTGGGGGGAGTGTTCCATCATCGCAGGCGATGGGATATGTTAGGTCTTGCATTTCAAGGTAGCCGCCAGGTTCGATATTACTGATATGCGTTAGAAGACTAACGGTGGTTTGTTGAAGGGCTGACTTGCTCGTAGGCATTTTGAACGAATTTCTCCATATCGGCGAAGGATCCTGTCATGACGCGGCAGAAGATGAAGTCGAATGGCTCTGGCCAGGTCCATTCTTTCTCGAGGTCATCGATTTCGAAGACGCAATTCGGTGGGACTCTGATGACGAGGTTAGCCTCACCAGACTATGCCAGTAAGTTGGAGCTTTACAATGAAGGTTGAATGGGACTGAGATCAACGCCAACGACCTGAAACAGTCAATTACCGATAAGCCTAATAGAGTTAAAAGGTGGTTGTACCTGAGCTTCTGGGTGAAGATCAGCTAAGTAACAACCGTCAGTCATCGCATGAGTTGATCTTCGAATCATCTAGCTCACCATATTCGATAGCCCAAATACCGGTTCCCGTTCCGACATCCATGACTCGCTTGGCAGGCTCTTTGATCTTTGGACTGAGCCCAAGCTCTCCTTGTAGAGTCAAAAGCCATAGATTATGTTGAAGATCTGTATCAAAACTCAACATATAGTAGAAAACCTTGTCTCCGATTTACTAACCAAGACGATCACTTTCAGACGCATCATTAGGGAAATTGTATTCTGCATTCGCTGTTAGTCGTGCAAACTGGATTTAACTGCAGTGACTCACTGCCAGAGCTCATGGCATGGTATGTTCGTCCATTCTCCTCTTGGAACCGCAAGACGCTTGATCGAAGTGAATCCAGGCTTTCTGAATCGGTCTGTGGCTATTTAGCTCTGACTCTCGGTGCAATATCACGCATGCGGCTTGGCGCCATTGGGAGACTCGCCGCTGAACTTACGCCAGAGAAAGTCGAGTCGCTATCGTCAAAGGTATCAGCGGCCTATTCAGAGAGTCAGCATCGATCGACACACTCAATACCACGGTCTCTATATACCAATGCCTCATGCGGCTCTTGGGTAGGTGCCGACATGATGTAATGCGTCTGTTGGCTGGTAATATGTAGCAGATGGTTGCTAAGAGTGAGTGAAATGGAAAAGGGCATTAACGTGAGGAATGAGAGCAAGAAAACAATGATTAGTTAGGTGATTTTCGGAGTTCGGCTGAGGATAGGCAGGAAAGAAGAAAAACAACTCATATGCAATCATACAATACTGCCTGGTTGGGTAACGTAATCCGATGCATGTTACGGGCACAGCGACAGACCCGACCAACAGACCCACCAACATTGCACCCATTGCTTCATCGGATAATTTTGTCTTCCTGAAGGTCTTTGCGAATTGCCATCCGATTATTGAACAAGGTTAAGACTGAAAGATCCTTTATTGAACCGCGTATAGGCTTGACAAAGACTGAAGACAAGATAAATGATAATATACATGATGGTGATAGTGTCAGCTTACTTGGGCAAGTACCAGCCGTTCTATGAGATTATCCAAGTCTGACGAAGACTTCCCTGGGCTCTAGAGTTAGCCATTGATCCAAGGATATTCCATGGCAAACTTGAACCCTTCGGGCGAGGCCGTCACTTCCCCTGGAGATACACATTAAATCAAGTACAAATCGCTCCTTTGAGCATAAATCTTGCCATCGAGAGACAGCGACTTCATAGCTGTATTGATCGGAAAATAAGCGACCGCTCATTTTGGCGTTATATCGGCTCGTTCCACAACCGGCAGGATATCCGGAATACTGGGGAGGCTGAGGATCTGTCAGTTTGGCAGTGGCAAAGACGATAAACTCTAGCCTATCTGGCTGTTTGTCACGCCAACCAGGATCACACTGCAGGCTTCCAATCGAATACCCGTCGGTTTCTGTTATATCAAAGGTTGGTAGCCCAGTCCTGCCGTCGGGTTTTCTGGCGACAGTAATATGAGCAGCTGAGGTTTTGAACTCCAGGATGGGATTTTGTGGCGCGAAAGGACTCTGAGATATACGCACTGGTGAGAGATATCTATCATATCTTTCACGCAACGTTATGTCAATGTCTGTCTCTTGGACGATGCCGGGCCTACCCCAGAAGCTCTCTCGCCCTCCACCAGACGTCCGTGTACTATAAGGTACTTCAAGACACCACTCAACTGGACCTTGGAAGCTAGACCAGCTCCAACTAGGGAAGCCGGCTCGCTGGTTGACAGGATCGGGGTTGTGGCCATGGAGAGGTTGCCATCCCAGCCCGAACCCAAACTGGTCCAAGGGAAGACCGAAACTGCAAGTCGATCCCCGCTTCTTGTCCTCCTCCATCCACTGGATCACGGCAGCCCACGCATTAAGGATATCCTGGGGATAACCCAGGGTCCGCTTAGTGTACTCTTCGACACTCCTGTAATAACCCCCCTCTGGGTACGATTCATTTGAGGTGTGGAGGATGATTAGATCCTTTATTCTCTCAGCCTCTATCGTTTTGGTGTTTGCCCAAGCTGCCATGGAATCACCATCTGGTACTTCCCAGACACTTTCCTCGCAGTACATCGTCTCGCGACACAGGAAGAAGGTCTGTGACGTCGTGAAGAAAAAGACTCGTTTCGAAAATGCTGCTTCTTGAAATGTCCAGCCGCGACTGAACCAGACTGAGCTCTCAATTTCCGTGAAAAGCGATGGGTAGCATATCATGAGCCTCAAGCCATCTACAATGGCCTGGTGCTGTGACTCAGGATGCCTTGTACCAGGTCGAACCCCTGAGAGGGGGTCAGCAAACGTAGTGCCGCTTAAGGCGACCAAAGTACAAGTTGCTCCGGAGTAGATTGACGCCATGTGGTGGATCTCAGGGTCGACCGAGCCCGGTCTTTGGGGAATGCACAACTGATCGACCCATAAGAAGCGCAGATCGATTTGGCGACAGAACTTCATGGCATCAGTAATGGTATCGCCCAGAATTATACCTGGCGCGGACAGACTCCCAGGCGTAGCTTAAGGCAGCATAGCCATCGGATGAAGAAGATCCAGAGACGATGCAGTCACTCTGAACGTCTATAAGCCTGTTTGGCCGAGATATTATGCCCACTGGTTTATACTCCCTGCACTCCTCGTGCTATTCATTTCAGAGACCTAGCCAGGTTTTACAAAGCTCAAAGTCAACATCCATGCCGACAAGTTGCCCATCAAAATAGCCAGACCTGTGAATCCATCCCTTATACGTGGCATCGTTACCAAACGCATAAGAATTGCAGGGCTGTTTACAGCTGCACCCAAGACATGCGTGTCCAGCGTAGCAAGTACTAACTGAACAAGCCCTCGGCATTGACGATCATATTATGCGCGAACGTGCAAACTGGCATTTTCCCGAGGTTCATAAGCAAATGTGGCAGAGACTTTGGATTATATAAGATTTTAGGTGTTCATTGTTATCTGAGATTAATTAAATATTTCTCCAGAGTACTGGCAATACTTCAATAATGCAACAAAACTTTGACCCCTCTGGACCTAGCCAATTGCTTAACCCTCTTAATATCAAACATAATCGGGTCATCCACAAATGCTTCCGAGAGATCCAGGACTCTCAACTTGCTAAACCGCCCTTGTGGTCCAGCTTCTTCAAGTAATTCTATGATACCCTCCAGGTATGGCTCAAGGAACACATCGTTACTACTACTAACCCAGCTTTCGATGAACCTATGGGAACGAGGCTTGAGAACTTGGATATCTTTAGGTATTCGATCAAGGACGACCTTGACACAGTCCTCAACTCCCTTTGACCAGGCACCTTTGAAGAAGTCGGCGATATGGACCACAAGAGTCCGGATGCGTGACAATTGTGAATAGGTTTCCTCTAAAACAGGATCCGGGTTGGGGAAATTCATGATGCTAATGTCGAGGTCTAGGTCTTCTAGAGAGTCTTTGTGTTTTATAACAGCCTCTGCTAGCTCGTTTTGGTCTGGCATACCGTAGATTCCGAGCCCATAGTCGACACGAACATTGAGCTTTCTGAGGGACCGACATGCAGTGATGAAATCTGGGACTCCAGATCGTAAGCATCCCACAATGGTTAACTCTGTGATTGGTGATGTCGAAACTGGGAAAGGGAGCACGTAATCGACAAGATTTGTCAGAGGGAGTTCATTGTCATCGCTCTCGGATCCGTTGTCCAGGTCATCAAACAATCCATAGGCACAGAGCGTTTGAATACAAGGGAGGTGCAGAAAGGATCTAGCATATGCCATGTCGAAAACTTCCTCGCTATTCCAGGGTTGCAGAGTAACATGACGAACCTGGCCAAGGGGCAACTGTGGTGCCATTTTAGCCGGTCTATCAAGCAACCGACAAACAGCCTCCTTAACGTAAAGCAAAGGCATAAAGTGTTGGTGACAACCAGGATGGAGGGAAGGTACTGTAATATTCAGATGGGTTAACCTCGTACACCAAGCCAAGATCAAGGCCGCGATGGCGTCTTCGCATCCGAGGCGTATGCGATGGCACACATGAGTTGAGAGAAACTTGGATACATTAAGATCCTTCTCAGCAGCGTCTGCGAGAGCAGCTAGACTCTCAGGGCTCAAGTCAGCTGAATCGGGATCATGATCGTGTAAGGGTCGAAGATATCCGAGGTCCAGCCTTTCAACGTGCCTTCGAAGATCAGGGTTTCGGAGAAGATGAAGAGCAAGTCTCTCGATAGAGGGTTCAAGACATTCTTGGCTGTTGTTCCATTGGCGCACGAGGAGAGGAAAGACGATTTTGTTGAAGCGGCTGTTGACGAGGCTGACGTTTTCAAGGGACTCGCGGTTACTTGTGACTAACTCGAGAATTCTTTCGAGGGTCTCGTCAGGCAAGTCGGATAAAACAGTCATGATGCAGAGGAGAAGTATGGCTATTATGAAGATGTCTATTGAAGTTGACGAATGCCTTGGCTCACGGAAATAAACCAGAGGTGAGTGATGTCATTATGTCTCTTTCGCGAATTACAGGCCAGAATTTGCTGACAGACGATTTTCTTTGGTGCATAAAGTCCTACATCGTCAGCATAAGAGTTATGCATGTTATGTTATGCACTAAGCTTGAAACTGCGTGACGTGGTCGGCATGAGTTATTCTTCTATTGTTCTCCTAAGTTTTTTAAGGTTATTTCATTAGCTAGAAAGTCAGACGTTCCTAGTAAAATTTGACAGCAACGTAGTCAAGGTTTCTGAAAGAGAAGTCGAAGCAACCAAGCAGCACTTGTTGAAAAGTCTGTCTGGCCTGTGATGTGTTCTAGACGTGGTGCTTCAACCCCTCATTTTAGCGGCAAAGGATCACTATAGGCGCATCTAGACCACCACCGCCAACACAGCACCCCTCTCTGCACCATCTAATCACAGGACCTCTGCTGCTCTGGTGTGCACAGAGCCTCACCTCTTGGCTACATGTCCTGCCCTTCAATTCCTCGTCCGGCTTCTCCATCGCAACTCAGCCAAGACCCATCACTTACCGCAACGTTACCGCGATTGTTTCTCAACTTGAGGTACTGAGAGCCTTACAAGGCTCATTTTCCGGGGCTGTGAGACTGTTGCCAAGACCAATAGTCCCAAATCATAGCGCCGAAATCTTTCAGCTCCCGACGCCAAGCCAATGAGATATCGCAGGGCTGATTTTAAGCATATTCGCTGAGATGAAAACGGCTCATGCTTATTTTTTGCAAAACAGCGGTCTTGGGAGTCATGCCCAATTGAGTTGGGTTGTCGGGATGAAGTGTTGCACTACGGAGGAGATCTCGTATAGAGGCAGGGGCGCTGTTTAGGGGTAGCTGTGCGACGAGAGGACGATAAGCAAGGGATGGTCAATCTGTCTTTCGTCTATGGATTGCCACCATTATCGCATGCTTCATTATTCTTCTTTTTTCCTCTTCAAATGGTCTGGACCTGAGATGAACTAGGTACTGTATGTTGGTGATGAGGATATTCGGATGCGGAATGGTAGAGGGGCAGTGCTTGAGTAATGGTCCGTAGATGCAGCCAGCAACAAGAGCTTTTGTGGTTTCATCGTGTACCTCATTGGGGAAACGAGGTCTCTGCGTCAATTGAGCAGCGCGGTCAACGATATTTATCCTGTCCTAGCAACAACGTCTTGAAGCAATTGAAACCTCTCTCCAGGTCGTGATGGTCCCTGCATTACCCTCGTCGGAAGAAATCTCATCAAACCCTCTGATCTAACGCAATATCTCTCTATTTTTGGACCTCAAGCCCTCGTCTAAAAGTCCTCTCCCAGTGTAATTAGCTCCGGATCGAGGCGGAGATTGCTAACCAACACGCTGAATGGGTGCGGCTGAGGTGACCCTTGGTATGGAGGCTTCAGCTTCTGCAAGCCCTGCCACACAATATTGGTTCTGGCCCTCCAGTGGCGTTTTGATCTGCCCAGGGGGAGAATCAGCTAAGCCGCATTTTCGCTCTGGGCTGGCTCCTTCATAATGATTGTTTCCTGCAATCGCGTCTCTCGTCTTTTTGCTTGGTTGTTTCCTCGTGCATCTCTTTTTCCCTACCATTCTTAGTACCAATTTTCACACTTTTGGCTGCAGTTCACCATGCGGTCATCTTCACAGGCTCTCCTTCTCGGAGCTATGCTCCAGGCCGTGAATGCAATGGACATTGCTCGCGCCGCCCAAAGGAATCACGCCCGCGACATACCAGCACCGACCATAACAGCATCCCCAATTGGTATCCTCGATGAACTCAAGCTGCTCGTCGGCAACGATGGACTCCGAATTCGACAAGCAGATTCATCGAGTGAGCCTTTGAAGGTTACTATCGCGCCCGATAAGACATGCGGATACTTGTCTGGCCAACCAGGCGCTGCAGTCACCTGTGAGAATGATCGCTTGTGTTCATGGGCTGCTTCGAGTGGTGTTGGTCTAGTCGCTTGCGCATCCGAGATTTACGTCGCTTGCGTTGAGTCCAGTAAAGCTGTTGACCCAAGTCAATGCAATGACGTTTGTCAGAGCAACACCTTCAATCTCTTATGGTGATTAACTACTGTCTGTCCCGGTTTCGAGTCTCAATGCTGACTGAACTTTTAGTACCAACTCCGACACGCCTTTCTGTCGCACGTATGCCTACCCAAGTGGTATTTTCGACTATCGATGCGCTTCCACATCTGTCGAGGATGTTCAATCCGTCAAGTTCACATACCAAGGCCAGAAGAATGCCAATTTCGTCACTACAACTCTCAGTGATGGTATCGAATCACAGTCAACAACAGTCACCAACACTGATAGTGGCTCTGCTGGCCAGGCAAGCGAGACGGAGACACAAACAGAAACAACGACTACTTCTGATGTTCCTGAGCCTACAAAGAAGTCCAAGTCAACACCTGTCGGTGCTATTGTCGGCGGTGTAGTCGGTGGCGTCGCTCTCATTGGCCTCATCGGTCTTGGTGCCGTCTGCCTGCTGCGCAGACGTAAATCCAAGCCTGAACCCGCCCCAGCACCGGTTCAACCTGTCATGGCTCAACAGCAACCTCCTCCTCCTCCTCCCGCCCCTATGAACCAGAACCCATACCCTCAGCAACAGCATTACCAACCAGCTGTACAGCCTTATCCTGATCATAGCATGGCGGCATCTCCTGCACCATCAGATGCTCGTATATCGATGATGAGTGGACCTATGTCAAGTGTCGGGCCAGTTTCACCTGGGGGATGGAATCAACAGCCATCGCCCCCACCGTTTCACACACCTGCGCCGGCGTATGAGATGGCTGGTCCTGAGGCCCGTGAGCAGGAGCCGGTCTATGAGATGGGTTCTGACTCTGTGAAGAAGTAAGATGATGAACATATGTTCAGCTATTATATGCATCGCTTGGTAGTTCATTTAGAGTAACCATGATTTGGAATTAATACGGATTTCTCATGACTTTCATTGATGACCTATTGATGTTTAATCCATGTTGACCATTCCCCAATCAGCAAAGATCTTGGATGTGAGACTCAAGTCACCACTTGCGATGGGCTTGGACCCTCCAAGGAAGTCATCGTAGTTGTTGTACACCGAGACCCTATGCTTGTGATCGGGAACAAGCGACAGCCCAGGGGCATCAGTCTTGACGACCAAGGTTCCCTCCTCATTCTCCTCTTGGGGTCTGCAAAATGTCAGCGTGAACAACTCCGACGTTAGAAGAAAACGCTTACAGCGGCTGAATTGAGTTCTCATAGACGTCTTCCAGTACAGAGACTACACCCTTGCCAAGCTGCTCATCGCTCAATGCCGGGTTGAGATTGAGTTTGACCCGATCTCCGCTAAGCTGGGCATTGGGCGAAGTTCTCAGCACATGGTCGATATTAGCCTCAGCATTGCTTCCATAGAGGTAAAACGGCATTCTATCAGGATATTTCCTGTCCAAGTCATCGTAAGACATAGACCTCTTGACAACTACCTGAATGTCAGAAAGCTTGAACTTGGCCAGAGGTTCAGCGCCATCAGCCGGGATGCCATCATCCATTCGGAACTCAACGTCGCCAGTTGACTCAAGAAGATTACCGAGTTTCTCAGGCTCCACGTTGGCGATGGTGTAGAACTTGTCTGGATTTTCTTTTCGCAGTTTCTGGTAGAGTTCCTTGACCTCGCCGGGGAGCTCAGCGGTGATGATGACTTGCCAGCGGTGAGCGGCCATGTTGAACATGGGAATGTGGACTAGGTAGACCTTGTCGTGACCTTGGACGACGAAGCCGTGGATGTCTGGCTTCTCGATGTTGCGAGCAAGAACATGCTACTGCTATTAGTATAAGTTATGTAAGGCTCAATCTGGAAAGCTTACCTGCACCTCTTCCTCTGCGATCTTTCTGAAGGAAGTGACCAAACTCTCAAGGAATGGCGAGTCGGTAGGCCAAGGGCTCATCGTCACATTGACCAGGAACGACAAATCGCCGTGAGCGGGATGACCATTGTTAGAGAGCTCGAGGCGCCTCTTGAAATTGGTCAAACACTTGCCATAAGCCTTTTCACTGAATGACGACGAGGTGAGGAACAGAGGCCGATCAGATATGGGCGTCGCGTCATCTTCAATAGTGTAGGAGAGGCGCTTGAAGATGCGCTGATTGAGGTAGTTGGCTTCTCCCTGCATCGTGTAAGTATATACGCCAAGATGAGAATCTAAAGTGACTTACGATATCGGTGTTGGGCTTGCCGTTGATCCGGAAGTTGCATGCAAAAGCGTTGATCATCAAATCACCACCAAGTGTCTCCAAAAGCTCCCAAGTCTCTTCATCCTTAAACAGGTCCTCGTTACTGACTCCAAGGATCTTTGTGCGGATTCTTTCCTTTTCTTTCGCAACATCCTCAGCTGAGCCACCGTTGCGCTCAATGGGTAGTCTGATAAGAGGTACAACGATCAAGTCATCTTCAGGCTTGGTCAAAGTGGCCCAGTGACAGTACAGCTACACGAGTATTAGTACATGAGGTCTCGGGGCTATGAGCGATGCAAACCTTAGTGCAAGTGAATATGGCCTCTCCAAGGAGTCTACCGTATCTGTCAACCTCAAGCCCGAGGGTCTTGTGAGTCAACCAGGTAGCCACTGCTGCAGCTCCGGGCTTACTTCCCTCAACACCATAGACTCCCATGCTTCCCTTATCGTCACCCTGATGGTAGACAATTGGGCTAGTCCAAGTGATGAGATAGCGCATGCGCTGATCACGGTAGCAAAGACCACCGGCAGGATAGTTGATATAGCCGGACCTGTCAACGGTTAGGAGACTAGATGTTAATCACGGACTTTGGAACTTACTTGTGAGGATCAATAGTGATGCTATCAGCAAAAGGCAAAAACTCAAGTTGCTCCCTCGTATAAGGCTGAATGGCCAACTTCGGAACAAAGGGTAAGTCTCCACCAGGAATAGGAGCGAACATTCTACGCTCAATCATAGAGGAGAAGTAGCCTCCCCACGCAGCATCGCAATGAATAGCGAAAGAAAGACCGCGGGCCTGGAATTCTTCGCGGAGCTCAACGACTTGACGGAGAGGATCACATGCTCCATGTTCAGTTGATCCGATGATGACGACACCGCCGAAGACCGGTGTATGCTGAGATTCGTCATCGCCTTCGATGCAGGATTCCAGATGGGCGCGGAGGCTGGAGATGTCCATGCGGGCTTCTTCATCGACGGCGATGTCGACAAAGTTGTCGGAGCCAAGACCAGAGATGGCTACAGATTTGTCAGTGAGACTGTTGCGGGAAACGATTAGTTCATTTACCTCCGCCCTTGGGCCAAGAGTAATGCTTCGTGGCACTAACAAAGAACTTGGCAGGCTTGGTGATGCCAAACTTCTGATCAACATATTCCTTTCCGACAGTTTGAATCAGGTAATCCTTCAGAGCAGTCTGGAGGAAGGTGGCAGAAATGGCATATTCGCTAGTCAAGCGAGTGGGGATCTGGAGAATGGCGGTGGGCTTCAGGTTGAGAAGCTCCCATGTGGACAATTCGGTGAAGGCCTTTTCTTCTCCTTTACAAGTGGACACCTTGAAGGGGGGTTTGATGCGAGTCAGGAAGTTGAGTGGTGCGCCTTCGGCCATGGCGAGCTTGAGGGATAGTGGGTAGAACTTGAGGTTTCGAACTAAGTCATCGGTCAGACAAGCAAAGTTATAGTGGATGGAATGATAGACTTACTTGCCCAGATGGCTTCAAGGTTGGCGACCGAGCCATCCTGCAATGTTGTTAGACATCATCATGACACATGAAGAGTTTACTGACGCAGGTAATGTGGCCCCATGGTTCAACATCTGAGTCTTCACCACCAACACCGTAGCCATAGCCCAGCATGCGGCAAAGGTCCTCGCCGACTTGACGCTCCACGCCAGTAGTGTAGGGACTAGCCTCTGTCGCAACGTTGTTGGGGTTGTACATCATAGCTGCCATATCTACATACCGTCCCATCAGCAATGCTCAGCATACACCAGCCTCTTACTTACATCCTATGATACTAGGCATAGCAGTATCCATGTTCATATGAGCATTATACCTCGGCGACCAAAACGGAATCGAGTTGGTGGACAGCTTCTTGGATATATCCTTGACGTCTTCACGAAGTTGAGCAATACTACCTTGAAACTCCTCCGTCTTGATCATGTCCTCAGTAATGAAGGCTGGATCATCCCTGTAGAGATTCTCTCGTGTGTCCTTCTGTTCATTCAAGACATAAGTGAAGAATTCACTGAGAAGCTCAAAGTTCTCGGCGCGGGGACCGAGGAAGTATGAGCCGACGCGGGCATGTTGACGGCGCTCATGCTCGATCTGCTCGTCGGTGACCATTGTGTTTATGTTGGAGTAGTGATAGAGATATCGAACAGTATGGGGGATCTCGGGGACGGCCACCAGGGTTGGGAAGAGGCGGTATTCTTATATCACACATGCTACCAGAGATCCATTTCTGCAGTACCGTGAGGGTTGCTGACCTTGACCCCAGCTGAAAGTGCAACAAATTCGTATACTGAGCCTATCCATTCTCTACACATTGAGGGGTATCGCAACCTTGCCCTCCATCGTCGTCACAAAGACCAGTCTAGAACAGTGACGAGTGATGCATCTGAAACATAGCCATCACCGTGAATGTTAAAAGCCTATAGTCTCATGCACGGAACGAATATACGCAGTCTCAGATGTGCCAATTTTTGAATGGGGAAAGGTGAGCTTGCGCTATTGATGCTTCAGCTGAGACTTGTTAGTGGCGGTAACCCCATTGAGGATCGGGTAAAGGACCCTGTTGCCCCATGACCCACGGAATACGGCAAATCGTGTATGTAAAAGTCTACATTTATTTCGTGCTCCAAATTCATTTATCTCATGTGAATATGAATCTTCCTACATTGTTCTGCTGCTATTATTGGTCTGGTTGTCTTATCCTGTGGTACCCCGCATCATGGCTACGTTCGCAGCATGTCTTTACATCCCCACTTTGAGACGGCGATAACGAGTACACGATTACTTATTGATGAGACCAATCACTTCTCCTCCTACTTTTGCCAGACAATGTCACTCATTGTCTTTGCAGCTCGTCCAGCCAAGTCTCGGACTTCGGGTGATAGATCCTCGTTGTTAGACTCAGCCTCAAACCTCCTCCGTGCAAATTCCCTCCTTGCCGTCTCCCATCTCGCCCGACCTTTATACTTCTTCCGTGACCTGTTCCACGGAAGTTCATTATCTCTCAACTCCAATATCCTATCCACCACCTCAATATCCCTCTCATCTCTCGTATGCGGATACTGAGCATAAACCTCCTTCCCAGCAATGATAGTCCATAGCGCAGCACAAGTAATGTAGTGACTGAGAATCTCATGATCTGGCGGTGGTGATACGCGGCGATACCATGGCGTCGGGGCTTTTTCTAGTGCATCAACAGCACATATTTCTCCTTGGACGCGTATGTTTGCTACTCCGCTGGCAGTTAGTCGAGCGTAGAACGCGTTCAGGTTCTGCTCTGCTTGTTGCTCTGGCCATGACCAACCAGCTCCGCATCCACAGGAGTCGTTTCTCACTTCGGCGATTGAGGCGCCCAGAATGATCAGGTCGCTCCAAACAGTACCTAGTTGCCAGACCCAATCTCTCTTGAGGGGAATCGTCATTGGTACTGGTTCTGGGGGATCTGGTCGGGCTTTGAGTGCTCTGACTAGATCAACTAGTTTCTCCTGTCGAGCCTCGTCGGTGAAGCGGATTTTCTTTGCTGTGTGAAGAATCGAGTACCAAAGGTTCCAAAGAAGCATTTCGGCGTTTTCAGAGTGATCTCGCTCATTTTCGGGTTCAGGCCAATCTTGTTCAGGTCCCCAAAGCTCGAGTGCCTTCTCGGGGCTATGATACTTTCGCTGCAGTCGAGCGGTCCTCTCTTGTCGAAAGTATGCCGTGCCAGCATTAGCAGTGGAGTATGCCTCATCAATTGGCGTGGCCAGAATATCGACTGTCTCGGCCCTCGAAAGGTCGCCTGCCATGTATTGATCTACGACAGTTGTCTCTGCGCAGAACCAATTTCGGATCTCAGCTAACCGGTCAATCTTAGCAGCCAAATTGAGGGCATCGTCATCGGCGACTGTTTCCGCGCGGTCATTTTCCTTGGTTTCCCTTTCTATCCTTCGTATACGTGTCTCCTCTGCTTTTGCTTGGTCTCGCTTCTCCTTCGATGGTCTGGTCTTGGGCATTGTTAAAAATTTAGAGCTAGTATCGGAACATTATAATATTTTTAGTGATTCAAATCTTGACACGGAGTTAAATACTGGTCGAGCAGTGGGTCTGAAGCATTAGTCCCCCAGTTTCCGTATCCGTCTCACCGAAGAGTCATTGCCGACCCAACATCTTACGTCAGCCTGCTAATCGTCAATACGCAAGACCGAATGCCCCTTTCTGGTTCGCAATGAAATCGGGCAAACTGGCTGAGCAGCTAAGTAAAACTGCGACACCAGCTACGGATCTCAATGGGGGCCTGGCTTTATCTTATGTCGCATGTTTTGCGATTCAAATGACATCATTCGTTTGCTGTGTGACAAGATCTCTATGTATCATAATTACAACATCGCAAAGGCGCCTATCTCCGAAACAATTAGGCATCAAAGCTCCTCCTCAGCTTTAAGAGAGATATTTGCCAAGATCGTGCTTTTTGATTTTCTTCTTTGAGCCGACAGCCCCCGGCTTGAAATCCTCCAATCTAACACCATGGCAGATATCGACTTTGGATATTGTTTTCAACCAGGGATCCGTTTTGTTTTTAAAAGAACAATTATGACTATAAGAATAACCATCCTAGTGTCACCTTGGCGATCTGAGTTGAGTAGAGAACTCTTGTAGCTGCAAAAAGCTCTTTTCTTCAGCAGGACGGCCCGTAGGGCTCGGGACCTCCAAGCCGAAGCTGAGCATCTGCTTTATTAGCATCCCCAGCATCATGGCGGTACACTCCGTGTGACAGCCACCGTCACTGCTCCAGAACGAATCGAGTAGCCCGTAAAGATTGTCCAGGAACCTTTGCGTGAGACTCTGTCTGCGTTGTTCTAGTGAGTCTGCACAGCTGTCAGTCATGCGCCCCGAGCACTTCATTGTTGTAACTTGCCCAAAATGGTACTAGGGAGTGGTAGGTCTGTTCGTATCGGCCTGGCGGTCAATTTAAGAATTGAATAAACAATAGAGTTGAACAACTCGGTCTTCTCAAAGACTCAACTGATGAACAGTCGAGATATATTCGCCTGGTAATCAGATCCTTCTATCTCATCTTCCTGGATGACAGAGGCGATCCAGTTCTCAGCAAACATCTCCACCATCTCATGGCACATGTAGTAGTCAACAAGTATAGTCATCTCCGTCAATAGACTAAGCTCCATGGTCTTTGGGACACGTCTATGGTGCCCATGCATAATGTCTAGTAAGATGAGCAGCGCTTCGGCGCTATACTCAAAAGTCTTGGCTTCAAAGCGCCCATACTTGTTGCGACAGCTCTCTTTGAATGGACCATCGATCATCGCCTTGAAGACGGGTGACGCAAGCATCAAGTGCGCTGATGAAACGCGGTAGCACAGTTCGACATTTTGCCCGTGCTCGTAAAATGGTTTCAGGTTCTTCAGATCACCACGGCTCTGTATCGAAGATGTAACGTCCTTGAACTCCTCTGAAGCAGGTCGTTCGAGCTCTTTTTGGTCAACTTGCTCTTTATGCTCGCCTTTCTCGTCCTCATTCTCTTCCTCGGTGGCATCCGGATCAGCGGCTTCAGGCAAAGGTTCTGGGTGGCTGCGGAAATTGGACTTTCGGAGAATGATATCTGTCTCCTTTAGGAGCGAAGACTAGTAGTGAAGGCTTCATTCCTGTTGATACCGCCAGTGGCTGTTGGCTCGATTAGGCATTAATGGTAAGGATCAAACTTGCTTCGGGCATCACTTATCGCGTATCGCATCTCAATCGTGGCACTATCGTTATCGTTTATCAGCTTATCTTATCTCTCACACCAACATTCTTCTCAAACTTTAGGGTAGCATCAGTCATTGACAAGACAACGCACTGTCGCCTTTATATTGATAAAAGAACCTTTAAATAGGAAATAGCAGGCTCTTTGGTCGTAGGTAATAGACTGTAGTAAATTCTGATTACACTACTTCCAATACTAGCAGTCATATAATTAAATATCTTACGAGGTAAAGACAGCAAAGTAGAACAAAGTGTACCTAGTCGTATCCTTCCAAGAAATATAATTTTGCGAACAAACTTCAGAGAATGACTAGAAGGCCAGAGACGCTCCAGCACTGGGCCCTTCTTCTCTGCATACTTTTAATAAATGTGATGCATGGATGGCTACGCGGCGTGAAAATCCTTGGCATTGCTCCAGCATGCCAGATCAGCATCTCAGCTATGACTGAGATGAACAAATTGCCGTAAGTGGCTTGCATATCCCCCAAGCCCGCCATCTTATGTCCTAGTAAGACAGTGCCTCAATTTGAAACGATCATCACGTGTCTTTAGCCATTGGAATGGTTCTCCTTGTCTGCTCAATGGTGGCTGACTGAACCCAGTAAATGCAACATTTCAACGATTCGCTGTACTCAAAAGCACTCCCCCCTCACTTTAACATACCCATGCTGATGCTACCAAATGGCGATACTGTTCCGCATTCTGCAAGGTCACCGGACTATCAGAAGAAGCATCCAGGATGAGGTTGAAAACTAGCGATATCCCGCAGCGACTAGTGGTAAGCTAAAGGCGCTTCAGCTGGCTCTAGTGCTCGGACCGCTATGGCAGGTAACCCAAACGGGACAAGATCCCCCTGAAGGGAGTAATAGTTTCAGCTTAGTGACGTTCTATTGAGGCATGATGATAAGAGGAGAAAAGAAAGGAAAATTGAAAATGAATGGGTATTTATGCAATTCAGCTGCAGTTCATCTTCCCCAGCTCTTTTCTTTTCATTTTATTCATTTACAGCCAGAATTCACAATGGTCTACGTAACCTCTACCAAGCATCCCAAGGGACTCCGTCTCCTCTCCCTCGATGGCGGTGGCGTCCGAGGCATCATGGGTCTCGTTATCCTCAGAGAGCTCATGCTTCGCGTCCAGAAGAAGAAAGGTTTGGACAAGATTCCCTTACCAGCTGATTACTTCGAGCTCGCTGGCGGTACCAGCACAGGCGGTATCATGGGTATCATGCTCTTTCGTCTTCGCATGAGCGTTGATGACACCATTAAGGAATATGACAGAATCGCCAAGACGATCTTCAGTCCTAAGATCTACGGCTGGGATATTAGCTGGATCCCTGGTTCATCGTACCTCAACAACAGCAAGGCTTTAGTTCAGGACAGCAGATTTGATGCTGGATCTATGAGTAAGGCTATTGACGAAGTTGTTGAGAAATTTGGCCTTGATGAAAATGACAAAAAGCTGAAGGGCAACGCACCTCTTCAGCACGAAGGTGGTGCACGGATGTAAGTATCTCTCCGCCTTTATAATACGTCGCTGACATCAGACAGGTTCTGCTGTACTACTGCCCAGAACAGAGCTGAGTCTATGTTGATGCGAACCTACAAGGACAAGACCATCTACACCAAGTCCAAAGTCAACGATGCTCTACTCAAACACGGTGACAAGCTCACCATCAGCATCGCAGCACGCGCAACATCTGCTGCTCCAACCTTCTTCCCCGAAGTGAAGTTTCCAGAGGATAAGCCTGAGTTGGTGTTCTGGGACGGTGGCCTTCTTAACAACAACCCCATCGACCAGCTCTGGTACACACGCTTTGAGCTCGTTGACCCCAAAGACCCTTCACCGCCGATCTCATGCGTTATCAGCCTCGGTACTGGCTACGTCAGCCCAGGAAAGGCAAAGCAGTCTTGGATCAAGGTTGTTGGAGTAGCGTCCAAGGTCATGGACTTTGCTACCAACACCAACGCTAAGGGCAAGGACTTTTCACGACACATGACGCATCTGAATGAGAGAGATGAGCACAAGGATACCAAGTATATTCGTTTTAACCCATTCTTGAAGGAGGAGATTGGCCTTGATGAGTACCTGAGGATGGACGACCTCAAGCTGATTGCGCAGAAGACCATGGATGATCCTAACCCTACAAACCAGTTTTGGATCAACCAAGCTGTGGATGCTATTTGCGCATGAGATAGAATCAAATGGGATGAACAAAAGGATTTTTGGGCTGTGGATAATCTTGCATCGATAAGCTGTTATTTGCGCGAAGTGAAGTACTAATGGAGCAAATGTATGGCACACGTACATTGACATCACCATTCTGTGTGATTCAAATGTCTAGAGGGCCACATAAGTAACGCAGTTGAGATTTAGAATAACAATAATGGGGAAAGATCTACGCTCTGGTTGCTATGTAGCTGAAAGCGATCATACCAAACGGTATATGTCGGTCTCAGAACAGACCCCCCATAAAAGTGAAATGAAAACGTGATTGGCGTCAACAAGTTCGAGGGTCAAAATGTGAGAATGAGAATGTTATTAAGGCTGTCCCTCAATGTTATCTAGACAAACTCCTGCCCAATATTCAGAGGGGACCAGTTTCCACATCATCGAAGCCAGTATGGTCGAGGGCTGATGCCAGCGATTTTAGATTTGAATAGTTCTCAATACGAAGGATGAGTTGATTATTTGGTCCGTACAGATAAAAACTATCCCCTGCTTGGAAAAGAACCTCCCCGTTTCCCTGCTCGAAGGCAAAGAGTGGCTTGGCCTTGCCTTTGATGCCAGCCGCTCCAAGGATATTAGCAATCTTCCCATTCTCTTGCCACTCGTGGCCGCAAACACGTTCGAAATCATTTGTCCATCCGGTTGGTGCGTCTACCTACTCGACGATTTAGCTTTATAAGAGAATGATTGGGGAGGGGGGGAATGAAACGGATATCAGTGTTGGTGAAGAGTCTGTCGCCCTCGTATTTCATCAAATCGTTGTTATCCATGATTGATATGAAAAGAGTTGCGTTGTGGTGGTAATTAAGATGAGAAGATGAGTGAAAAAAGTGAAAAGAAGATGAGGACATATGGTGTAGATATAGGCAACACCCCCTCGAAAAGCCATTGACGTCAGACAAAAGTGATAGTCAACTCTTGGTTGAAACTACAACTGCAATGCTCTCAGAAAGGTTAGGATGTTCTGTCCAAGCAGAGATGAGATGAAGTCTTAGCATGAACCGTCTAATCACGTTGAAATTTGCCGTCGCCGCACACATATTGTTTCAGCATCTTTCGGAAACAGTCCAATCATTTCAATGAACTCGAGCTGCAATCAAAGATCAGCCATGTTTCAATAAAGATTTCTGGCTTGGAATATAATATACCTGTGCGCTTCTGATAATATCGCAACTCAAAAGATCTGCCGATCGGACGGGGCACCTATGCTGGCAGAAAATCCAGCCTAGTCCTATTTGAAATGGGTACTTAGAGACGTAAATGCGCTCTGTGCCTGTTTGCCCGAAGAAAAATGGTTCTTCAGCCCATTTTCCCTTCATTTGTTTCCATGCTAGCTTGAATCATCAGTGGTGGCCGTTTATTGGGACTTAAGTGGTTGGCAAGACCATACAATATATAGGACCGACACTTCAGTTATGGGAGGCTGTGCTACACTGGATACAGTTAACATCTTGGTTTGACTAAAAGTGTATATATAACAAGGCATTATACTAATGGGTTATTTAGATGCATCTTGCGTTCTTGACGAGATATTGATAGCCGGTAAGCATGACAAAGAACAATCTTCTGATTTCCTCATCACATCTATTCCTTCAAATATCTTCTCTCAATACCTCTGCACATTCCTCAATCATCTTCTGCGCCCCCGCAAGCTCAATGTACTTCTTGGCCTGCTCCTCCGTGGCATCTATAGCAGTGATATCATCCATCTCAGCGACACCACCTTCGACACGCGTCTCAAGAAGCTTCCAAGTCCAGTTACCATCGTCATCCTCCGTCCACTCCGGTAGACCGTCACCGACATTAAATCGGTAGTATTTCTTGGCCATGGGCCTTGGAGCAAAGGCATTGATAAGCGAACGGAAGAGCAGGTTTGTGATTTCGCTGTTCGTCGCAATGCTAGCGACGGACTCGGTGAAGCCTTTGAGGTTGCGGACATCTCCGACGGCTTTTGCTGCTGCGATACCTGTTCCGATACTCAGAAAGCAGTTGGTAGACCGGGCTGGACCGAAGACGGACAGGACCTCGTTCCAGAGCCTATACACATTAGCATACAGGGTCGCGTTTGTAGAGCCAAAGACTTACCATCCCATTGGGTTATTAGCTTGGAGGCCACCGTCGAGGAACTTGTAGCCGCCAACTTCGAGGGGTGCGAAGTACATCGGTGCGGCTGAAGTTGCCCGTGCGGCCTCCCAAAGCTTGATTCCCGGTAACTCGGACTTCTCAAGCGGGTTCTCGTATGAGCGAAACAGTACGGGAGCTTGGTTATTCGCACCCTCCTGTCGCGTAGCCATCACGAAGCTGTAAGGCTTCACGTTAACCTCCAATACCGAGTGACGAGAACCAGGACAATACGTACACCTTGCAAGTCTTGGCAGATTCCTCATCAAGGAGCAGAACCTGATCTGGATCCTGACCAAGTTGCTCTTGGACGAGTTGCTTAATACACTTCTCAAGCTCACTTGCGTCCCACTTGGAGCCTGATTTGACTAAGCTGACAGTTGTCCAGCGAGATGTGGGGAAGACAGTTCCCATGAACTTCTTGTATTGCTTGAGAGCATCCTCAATGGTCATTTGCAGACGACCAAGCATGATGGCGATGAATCTGAAGACTGTTAGTGAATGATACCGAGTGACTGATAGACCTTGCGTACCCTCCTGTGCTGGTTCCTCCGATCATGTCAAAGACTTCACAGGGCTTCTTTCCAGGTGCAACCTTTTTCATGATAGCGTCTAGATGCATGAGTGCCGCGACACCTCGAACACCACCGCCATCTATAGAGATTTAGCAACTGGTTAATGCGCGGACCAAGGAGGACTTACCAAGAGAAAGAACACGAAGGGGCTTCTCGCTAGCAGATGTAAGCATTTCAGCGCGGAAAAGCAGATCAGAGGGAGGCGCAGAGATCTGCATCGAGTTTGGTAGGATGGTGCTGTTGACTTCATCAAAGACTTCCTGGATGCTGAGGACCGTTTGTTTGGTCTGTCCATACTGGAGAGCCTTTCTGGGCACTGTAGTGGTTTATGAGTAGGATACCTCAAGTAAAGATCTGGATGAACGCACCTGGGGCGCCAATGTCAAGCACGAGATAACCAGTGCGGGCCTTGATCTGCCACGCCTGAAATCGGGCACAGAGGCGGACAGCAATGACATTTCCCTCCTGTGGACGGGTCAGTCAAGTGATTGTGATCAACTGGAATGCACTTACCTCCAGAAGTCGGAAGATATCATGATCCTTTCCGAACTCAACACCTTCTTCCTGTAATTAAGTCAGTACCTTCAGACGATTGTCTTTTGACCGGTGTACTAACCCATCCATAATCCTTTGACAGGAAGCGATTCCTGTGGCTCACCCAAACGAGCTGGATTCCATCTTTGACTCGTGGCTCTTCAGAGTACTTGGTCTTCAGGATAGCAATCTCAAACCAAGTCCAGTTACCAGCAAGAGGATCATCACTGAAGCCTTGATCACGAGACTTGGCGACCAGTTTCATGCAATGAATCCTTTGGATGGTGTCGGTATCTAATGGCTACACATCAGTTAGCTACTGTCACTAAGAGATAGTATAGAGGATCTGGGATCTCACCTGAGTATGGAACCAGATCTTGTTAACAATGTCTGGGCCCTCAGCTGTGAGCTCTTTCTTCTTGTGGCATGGGATCGTGTAAGTGCCCTCTGTGAAGTCACTGGTATCATTGGGGAGAACAGGAAATTCTTCGAGTTCAGAGGCGGTCAGCATGTTGGTAGTTGTCGAAATAGTGTTGAGTTTGAGAGTTGTTTTGAGAATGAGTAGATGAGAGCAGTGAATGGGTTGGGCTTGATCTTATACCAGTAGCTGGTCTCTGTGGAAACGTAGGACAAGTGGCAATGTTGACCGACAATGCAGCCAAACCAATATCACGTCTTCCAGTGTCAATGGCTTCTGAGTCTATTCCCTATTTCGACCCGCATTTGTGGCGGGCTGGAATAACAACTATTGATCCGTGCATTCAGCTTTTGCGTGAACAGGCGCTAAACCGTCTGGGTCGGTTGCAAGCGAAGGCCTAGAATAAACTAAAGCTAGCGATGTCTCCATCCCTGATCACGAAAACAACATGCGGACTCTTTGTCAATCGCATCATAAAGCATTCATAAATCTCCAAATCAGAAGATAACCATCTAATACTGGCGCTGTTGATACACTAACGATAACGACCAGTTTCAAAGTCCCCAATCGAGCTCCAGGGAGAGTCTCTCGTGGAGTACCATTTCTTTCTTGGCAAAGATTAGGCGAGCTCTCAGACGAGGACCCTTGTGTTCTGGACCACCTCAGCCTACTGCAGAGCCCTGTAAATATTGTCTATAGTGGGGTAAACTGGACTGCTTTTAGGTGGCAAGAGTAAGAAAGGCTTTATGCCGCGATTCGATAGTGAATTTTGTCCTGCCGGGTAGCACTGCAATTTCATATCGAACCACTTGGTTTTTCGAAGGTCTCGCTGTAAGGTGGGTGATTGGTGATATGATATGAGCTAATTCATGGCTTTTACAGAAAGACTTTAAGCCCCTGCGAGAAGGCCATTGATTATGGGCAATAACAGCTACAAACATTAGGTTCCATCATAACGGACCTGCTTGATCATCAAGCGTCCTTCCCTAAGACGTCTCCTGGAGACCCAAGGTCTCCAAAGTAAGCTCCCAGGTTCTGTTCTCCTTCTCTGAAACATAGATATAATCCTTATGCCCCATCATACCTGGGATCAATGGCTGCGGCATGGATGGTCGACAGTTCTCAAGATACTTCCCGCCCTTTCCCTCCCACTCCTTGCCAACTGCTGCCAGAACCGTAGTCGCAGCACCTTGCTCGGGGCTTTTCATGAAATTGATCGTCGATGGGTTCTCCTTCATGTCCCTGTGCACCGCCTCAGGTAGATGCTTCTGGAGGTTTGATGCGATTCCACCGGGCATGACGCTAGTAGCGTGGAGACCCTTTGGGCCGTAAACACGGTCGATGTAGTTGGACATGTAGATCTGGGCGAGTTTGCTTTGGCCGTAGGCTTTGAAAGGATTGTAAGCGTCGGGGGCTTTGAGCTGGAAGTCGTCGTAGATGACCTCTGAGGCGTGGTGGCCTGAGGAAGACACGTTGACAAGGCGTGAGTTGAACTCGGGCGTTGAGCCTTTGAGGAGGGCGTCTTTGAGTAGCCAGAAGAGGAGGAAATGGCCGAGATAGTTGGTAGCTAGTTGTTGCTCGAAACCATCCTTGGTCTCGATGCGGGTAGGTGTTGCCATGATGGCGGCGTTGTTGATGAGGACATTGAGTGTAGGCGATTTCTCCAGGAACTCAGCGGCGCATGCACGAACGGAGGACATGTCGGATGTATCAAGACGTATCAAGTCAACTTGACCTGGCTTCAAGAAAGAAGAGCACGCAGCCTTGCCCTTTTCTAGATCACGCACAGCGAGGAAAACACGGGCGCCGGTAGCAGCAATAGCACGGCCAACCTCAACGCCAATCCCCGCCGAGGTACCAGTGATCAAAAACACCTTATCTGTCAAAGCGCCCTCAAGATCCTCATCGCGCACGATTTGAAGGGCTGTCGGACGAGCATCGCCAGGGCCAGAGGTATTCTTGTGAGCGTCTGCGTAGCGAGACATAATTTGTAAGCTTGAGATAAAGTGACGACGGTTGATAAATGAGAGTGAGGCAATGCAATGAACTTGGCTGAACATTGAAAGATTGTATTGGAAAGAGAATGAGGTCGCCCGAAAGCCACCTATACAGAAGTTGAACCTCGTCTGGCTTGCATCTAAGCGTCATAAGAATCGGGCTTAACCCGGATTTATGGGCGCTAACTCCGTTTGAGATCAAACGCGACAGTGAATCACAGAAATAGGCAAAGAAATAGCCAGTAGCAGTAATACGGATGTATAAGACACTAGAGATGATCGGTTCTTAGAAATTGACTACAGAGTCTGGCGAATGAGATGACCTATGTATAAACTATTGAGGAAGTAATGATGAATCCATATCAAATGCCAATTCCTCCAAGAAGACGTAATTGACATTGTCTCGGGGGCTTTTTCTAATCAGCCCAGTGATCGATGCACAAAGTAATTCACAGACTCATGCATGTTCCTGACATTTCGCCGACGACTTGGACCATCATCTATCCAGTACTTATCCACCAAGCTAGACTGATCAAAAGCCGCTACAAAGCAAACTTCATCAATGAACCTGTCGTTTGCCAAAGTACATGCTTTTCTGATGTTCTCTGATAGATTGGTGATATGCGAGTTGACGGACTCGCCGAAACGAAGCTCGGTGTTCGTATCGACAGTAAGACGGAAGAGTAAAGCCTGAAGATCTATTGGCGCTGCCCAGCCGGAACTTTCTGTTGGAAGACTTTTCATCGTATGCTGAATGTGTACTTTTTGTTATCCAAGATCGGAAACTTGACTCCTTGTGAAGGCCAGAGGATATCACAGGAATGTTCCCAGCTCGGTCCATCAACTGCAAAAATACCATTTCCAAGCAACGGTCGAAACGTATTGCTCCGTCTCCCACCCAAGCCAGAGTCTTTGAACCACGTCAAGAGTACAGTCTGAATGTTTCTCGGATCATTGACAGAAACATCATGATTTCCAAGAGTGTAGTGCTCAAACGCCCCAGCATGTCTCACCTTCCCATACCGCTTCATTATTGTCTCAAGAAACTTCTTCTCCTTATCTGCCTTGATAGCAGCGAGGAAGAAATCGACGGCGAAGGGATATTTGTTGGGCATGCGCGGAGCACGCTGACAGCTTTGGGTCTTACGTTTAGCGTCGTACCGGAGATGAGACCAGTAGGAGTTGGCAATACTGAAGGCTATGCAGGACCCAGCGGCCCAGAGAGCGAGGACGAGGAGGGAGTTCATGTTTGGTGCTGGCGGTTGAACACAGGCTTTGGATATCGCTGGCTGGTGACTTCATTATGGCTGTACTAGTTGATGAAGTGGAAAACTCTTATACGATCAATTCAATTGTCTCTATTCTATACTCGGATCTATCGTCTTAATATGCCAATTGAACTGTGCGCGACAGTTGTTGTTCAATTGGGTAATATTCCATTGAGCGTTCTACGGAGTATTACCGTGTTAGGAGATGTGGTTCGGGGCTGCATCATGCACCAGAGTTAGCCCGATTGGCTAACCAGGACTTGGCTTGATGTAAGCGTAAAACCCGCTGACAGAGAAGCTCATGCACAGAACAGTTGTTCATGTAAATGAGCTTACCGAACATCGCCCGACTCGAAATCGTGTAACAGCAGAACCCATCCTTTCTACAAAATCCCCAGCCCTCGTCTAGCAGCATGGTCCAAACTCCCCTTCAGCCTCACATTTCTCAGCGGCCGCCAAGTGCATTAGAGCCATGTCTTGTAATTGGACGGGCTGTTACCTTTCTGGCTATGCCTCTGAGACATGAAGCTCTGGTTGCTGGTCATGTCGGCTTGTTTCCTAATCCGGCAATTGCCCAAAAGCCTCAAGTTGCACCGCATTGGACACTATGATCAGTGGGGGCTGAAACAATCGAAATAAACTATCAGATGACAATTTAGTGTAAGCAATGCGAATTTCTATTCGAGTATCAGCGGGATTCTGAAGGAGTAGTGAGAGGCTTGGAAGCTGACAGTTCAGATAGTGGTGCGGCAACAGGAAGTATAAAACACTAGAGGCATCTTCTCCACCAACGTCATTGTTCACGGCTCAGAAAACAAACTGTCACCATGCCACTTGTGTTAACTCCAATGAAAATGGAAGCCTGGCTTCGACTCAACGGCAAGTCCTCCAGAGGATTGTTGGCCATATATGGTAGCAGCGTTCTGGGCGTACTGGTACGTCAACCAATAACCATGAGTTTAGAAGACCACATAAACTAACCCACGATAGCTCACCTTATACTGGACCGGTCTCGTAATCTACCATATCTACTTCTATTCACTGGCGTCCTACCTCAGCCCCCTCCTAGCAACATCTACCCCAGTGCGTGCCTGGCTCCTCGTAATGTACTTAGAGGCCATCGTGATCCATTCTGGGAAGATATGGAGAATTATTCGATCAACACGCGGTCGCATCCATCTCGCCATTGATGAAGGGCAAAAGAAATACGGTGGCTTATAACCCCAATCTACTCAGCTACTGCACCTGAAGGGCCTGTGTTTAAGTCAACCTTTCCTCCCATATCTCACATCACAGAAGGATATTTACGGTCACGCTGTTGGAAAGAAACAGAACGGCGCGGAGTTTAGCAGATTGTGTATTGGGAGTGATCGAGATCCGCAAAACCATAGGAACATGAAGCAGAGCCTTACTGCGGCCTTTTTTAATAAGACATTGAAGATTATTGCGAATGTTGTTGATGTGTTTGCTGATGAGATTGGCGAGCTTGGTGAGCCCAAGTTGAATGGGTTGAATATGACCAAGTGGTATGCGATTGAGATGCTTGCGTTTGATATTCTCCGAGAGATGGCATTTTAAGATCGTTTCAGGTGTATTAGCAGCCTCTGCGCAACAGTTTTGATACCCCTAAGCTGTCGTCAGCGAGGGCGTTCGTATCTATCCACTTGAATGTCAAGGCTTCTTAAGGATCTTTCCATGAACCGATATCGATAACCATTGGGCTCCTCAAGGCGTAAGTCAAATTGCGCCAGACATCTAACGCTAGCTAGCTAACGGGGCATACAGACCGAGGTCTACACAAGTGCTTACATGGTTACTCACAACGAGAAATACTTTTCGGATCCTTACCAATTTGATCTCAAGTGATGGCTTGATCCGTATAGTCACCTTGGGGGCCAGAGGTTGTCTTAGACCAAAGTACGTGCACCGTTCTTGACAGTGATTTACAGTCTGTTGGCTGCTGCTTTCACAGCTTTACAACGATTGAAGTGAACCAGATCTTTACCAAAATGGTGTTCAAGTATAGCCGGGAATCGGTTAGTGCAGATATTGACTGGTTGGGTGAATGCCGCTATCACGTCATGTGGTGGAAGCCGGATCTGTATGTTCAATTTCGGGAGAGGTCCGATCTGGAACGGGAGATAGCAAAACAAGCAAATAGGGAGCGGCATGGTAACACTGAATGTGATGATCTGGGTAGTTTGCTCTCGCTGTATGTAGAATGACCATACGTTACTTGTTGGGGGTTGCCTTGTCAGGTTGTAAAAGGCAATGTTGCATGCTTGTGATTGAGACTTCCCTTTGGATAACTTCCGAATATGATACTCTCGAGCGTTAAAAGGACTAACTTTCCACGCCATCCTTGATAAATAGTTCATAGTCTGTCTAAATTGTCTCGTCTTTTCAGGTCTTGGATTCTTTCTATCCAGCTTGTCTATGGCTCATCAACAACCTTGAACAACGCCTCTCTAATTCTCCCCAAAAGTGCAATGACCTGCTGCTTTACACTCTTTAGCATTATAAGCTGAGCGTGTCTCCCTTCAATTGCTGGACTTCTCTCAATATCATCCACCAGCGCCTTGATCTTCCGTAGCTGCACCACCGTAAGGAGTTGCAACATACTCCCCCATTCTTCAGTCTGGTCCACTTCATACTCACCCACCAGCAGCTGCTGCTCTACACTGGTGCCCTCCCTCATGTACCAGAGAATCTTCTTGTTGAGCATGATAAGCTTATCGCAGATCATGGTAAGAAACAGCATGGCGTCTGGGTCGGTGTAGCAGCTCTTGCAGCGGATTACCTGGGTGCACTGGATGCATGATTGCTTTTGAAAAGAGAGCGCAACATCGGCTTTGCAGGGCCTCATGTCGTGCATGCGAGTTTCAAGCTCCTCGAGCAGTGAGTTCATGACCTTGAGACATCGGCTGGCACAGGTACTGTTGCTGACATTGATGGGATGGCTGAGCATGCGTGTAGCTGTCGAGGCTGTTGAAGTGCGAGAATCCAAGAAACCGAAAGCGTCGGGCTGTGTGCTGCGCGGTGAAGGAATACCAGGTATACTATACGGTGACCAGTGAAAATCTGGCAAGGAATTGGACTCTGGCACTAATTTTGCAAAGAGAAAGCTTAGCAACTTGCCATTTATCGTGAGAGAGAAAGGAACTTACGGTCAAAAGTGGAGGGGTCCAAATCAAAGAATACGAATTCATCTCCCGAAGTGTTGCTGCTCATGGCCGCATCTTCTAGGAGCGTTGCATCCGTCGGATGCGAGATATCGCTCGCCAAAGGATCAACAGACGAATTGCTACCGTTTTCATCGCCGCTATTTCCCCCCTGCACCGAAACGCTAGGGGAGTTTCTGCTGTTGACGACGACGGTGCTCTGCATAGCATCCGATTCGGACTGCTGCTCAGGTGATGTCGACTGCGCGGCAGCATCATTCTGTCGGGCCGTCCGCTTGCGGTCCTTGCGCCGCACGTTGCTTCCAAAAAGCTGAGTATAAGTACACTCTGTAGAACATGCCTTGCAGCGCTCACAGCCCGTCTTGCGCCCCGTGCAGCGAAGCTTCTTCTGGCGGCACTGGTCGCACGCCGTGTGCTGTAGGACGTTGTTGCCCAGGGCACTGAATGCAGCGCCGTCTGCTCGCTCGACGAAGGTGGGCCCTGCGTTTGCGGAATGGTTGAACTGGAGAGTGCCAAACATGTTGAATATGTGGCCCTTTCTATATAAGATGGGCCTCCCCGCGCGTATGAGTCACTAAGCTGCGCTGCTTAAAATGGCGAGGATTGACGATACGGATAGGCTGCAGCTGCCACCTTCAGCCAATTATTCGTCTGTATATATAAGTTGTATGAATCTCGGCAGTTGCTGAGAGGTAGTATGCCAACAGCGATTTCACTTTAGCCGCAGATTGGAGATTCGCTGCGGCTAGAGATTTGCTGGGGGTGATGTTCTCCTTGAGGGTTGTCTAATCCTCTTTTAAGGTCAGAAGGGTCTCAAATGCCGCTTCACGACACATGCAGGCGAGTTATGTGGGTTGCTGGCTATTAAAACATTTTGGGGGCGTCGGGTCAGCATGCATTCTCACCTCATCCTTCAGCCCCCCTCGGCGTTGAAACTGCCGGGTGCACAAGACTAGTTCTCCCCACGGGGCGCACGCCATTCATTACCTTAGCATAATATTGGTTTTTGACTGCCCTTTACAGCCACTGTGCTACCTGTTTTGCTGAGAGATGCGTCTGCCTATGGGCTGTATCTTGACGGCTTCCGAAAATCAACAATAAGCCGACCGTGCATAATCGTAAGCCGTGTTAAGGCCAGCCTACTGCACAGAGTTGAGCCAGCCCTTTGGAGCCTCTCCTACGAAGCCTGCTCGTCAAAGGTCAATTTCTGGTGTTCACGTTATTCGTTGTTTACCCTGTAAACACTATGATGTTCTTAGAGATGAAGAATTAATCCAGGTCGACGTTTAAATCTGGTCGAACCTCACCTAAGAGTAACAGACTAACAGATACTTTCAGCCCTAGTCCGGATCACAATCTGCATATAGTATGACAAAGTATACAGCGAGATATATACACGCGATATTGTACAACCTTACCAATGAAGTGCCGTACGCTGGCCAATCCCTATCCCCCTTATCGCCCGGCCAAGCCGGGGATGACCTCGTGCAGATCCATCCACCCCTGTAACCCCTGCTAAGCACGGAGGGCCGGGGTGCATATAAGCTTCTCCAGCGGCACTGTTTCTCAGCGGATAATCATCCCAGGCTTTGGTATCGATACACAGTCTGGGGTCCTTCCAAAAGCGTAGCTATCAGTAACAAACTCTCTTGGCGGACAACGTTCGCGAACGGTTGCTTATGTGACTGCATAAGAGTCACAGTGTACTTACCTTGCAGCCGCATATGCAATGGCGGGGAATGTTTCCAGGATAAGAGAAGTCGATGTCTTGGCACATTAATTCGGTTGGGAGTTGCGATTCAAATGCCTCAAAGCGAAATGGGGGTCGCTGCTCGTACTTATGGCCACAGGTTGCAATTTTCGTATCTCGCATGATGCTTCGAGGCGCCATTATCAAGATACGAAGCGGCTCAACGTTGCACTGGAATATTGTCACGGCCAATGCGCGCTTACTTATTCAAACTTTGTTCCATTACAACCTTGAAGATGACTTCATGACTTTTGAGCAGTGAGGTGGCGTTTATCGTTATCTCCCTCAAACTTACGCAAATGATGCCAAACTAGCATGTCCGTGTTCACATACTACCTATTAATATCTACCGAGGCTCACGGCATCTGACTCAGATGAACCAACGGACTATTATCCCGCCTCTATGATGGAATCTTATGTGGGGAATTTGGTATCGTAAGCCTGATTAATGTATTTCCGGGAAACAGCCCCCAGAGAATAAGAAGCCACGAACTTGAGATATTTGTGATTTCAAAGACGACAGCAAGCTGCTTACCTAGTGACACCCGTTCTGGGACGATAGCCCCGCCGCGTAAATACTCGGCGATCTCGTAAGCTCATGTGTAACCCCGACGATGCAATGGTCGTGTAGAGTCAAAATGGAGTGTAAGAAGATACTGACAGATTAGGTAGCTAGGTAGTCAGAGTCCAGGCGGGGCACAGATGATAGCGGAAGCAATAGACCCCTATTCACACAGAAGATACGTTCAAGTAAGTCCTGCAGAGGCCGCTTACGTATGCGCACAAGCAGAAGGACTCCGGCTGCATCAATAACGCAACGGGCCGTTCCTCGTGGGAGAGAATTATTCCGTAAAATGTTCTTTTCCTCCGGCGAGCAAGTCGGGTCAATCCCCGACCGACCTCTGCCTTGGGGGTGTAAGCGCTAGGTTTGTGGCTGCAATCTTGCGGCATTTCTGAATCTGATGCTGTGATATCAGTGGTCCGAATCGGGAAACTCGATTCGAGAGAACGTAATCGAAGCCCTGGATGAGGGGAGCGTATTATTTATAGAAGAGGTCGCTCTGTTTTCCATATCAGGTAATTGCCCGTCTCAGTACAGTTCTAGAAATACAGTCAATGAATGACTTCTATAAAAGAAAAAGTTTATTATATAATCATAACTTACAACCAATCATTTATCTCAAGCGACAACTCCCATTAAGCTTATCTTCTCAAATCCAAGCATCGACATTGCACCTACATGAGTTGGTCTGGTAGGTCTCGCGCCCATTGACGTTCTAGAACCCGCCAGCGGGGACCGGGGTGTCCTCCCCCGCCTGAGACCCATCCTTGAATGGCCACGGAACGATATCGTGGCTGTGTGTAGCTCATCTGTCGACTCTGCCCGCTAGTCAATCGTGTTACACAAACTCCCCGACACTGTCAAGGCGTACGGCAACCCCGAAGGCCCAGCCAATGACTTCAATATCGATCTCAGGGTCGTCTCTCTCAATGTTGCTAAGCACTGCAGAACGGGATAAAGGTGGTTGTGGAGGGGCCATTGGGCGCCACGTTGACGGAGAGTGAAGAGCTAACGGTTCTAGCTGCTAGCAAAGGGCGTCCAGACTGATGTTGGCCATCAAGGCAGAGCTTATCCTCTTATCAAGTCAAGGAGATTATTGATAAGGCGACCATTGGCAGAGTTCCTCGCTCTCTTGCGATAGGCTGCACCCTCCAGCTTCAGCCGCAGATGGATTCCAAAAGCGGCTGTCTCCGTATCGGAGCTGAATGCTAAATTCAGATGTTCGGTCTTGAACATAACAGTTATTATGACTGCCTGGCAATAAGTGAATACCTGATAACGCCATGACCATGACATTGTTGACCACCATCAACGGGACGTCCCAAAACTCGATGGAGAAGTCGCCATCATTACTGGTAATTATAGACATAGATTTTATTTCATAACACAAGCAACTCGCCTTGAATTCTACAGGCTGCGCTTCAGGAATTGGATGGACGGCAGTCAGATTTATAGCTACCACTGAACCAGCCAGATGCCAATACGACACCCTCGCCACCAGAGGGAGAACCAGCGTTGCCAAGTTCCTTCGCTACGATGTAGCTTGATGGACAGATCTACGCAACGCTTTTGAACAGGCTGTAGCGGAAGCGGGTCGTATTGATCTCGCCACTTCCAACGCTGGTGTATCTGAACAATACGACTACTTTTCAGATAAGTCTGATGAGTGGGGAAAGTTGCTTGAACCTGCCTTTGGCGTCACTGATGTCAACTTCCAGGCTGTTGTAGTTTTGTGAAACTGGCAGTTAGCCAGATGCGAAAGCAGAGACAGGCTGTCGATAGAACAACGGGACGCATCGTCATCACAAGTAGTGCAACTGCTCATGCACCGGAACATGATCTACCAGTGTATGGCGCCTCCAAACTTTCAGTGAATCCACATCCTCCGTTGGCTAAAAATGAAAACTCACAAAGAACAGACCGTTGAACTGATGCGCAGTCTTCGTTCCACTTTGATCATGGACGATTTCACCATTAACGCTGCCACACCCGCAGATACCTCGCAAAGGTCCTCCCCCAAGATTTAGCAAAGTCGCTCATGGCTACTGGTCTTCCTGCCAGTTGGGCCGAGTTTATGGATTACGCCTTGGTCTACTCTGCAACGGCTAAGCAGAACAGACGCATTGAGGACTAAGGTAAAGATACTCAGCTACCAGCGGCAAGAGCAGGTGGACCATTCAAACAATTCTCACCTTGAGTGGTCGGTACACTGAGTTGGAAGAGCAGTACGCTGAGATTAGGCGATCTTGGCTTAGGTGGGAGAATACGACAATTACGAGAATCCAAGAGGCAGTTACCGACTCTAGACAGCCTGTTGTTTAGACTCTATTATCCATTACAAATAGACTGTCCTTGCCATAAAATACTGCAATCACTGACAATGGACCTCTCTGCCCGAGAGTAATAGCTGTACAGATATGACTGCAATATAGATTCCATACAATGCACGACTTCGATCATCAACCGAGATTCTCGGTCTCCAGCCGGAACCATCCCTGCTCATTGATAAACTCCACAATCTCGTTCAAATCCGTCGGCGTGACAATTCGCTGTACCCATCCACTCTCACCATTGTATATGTAATACTGCTCGTTGATCTCAATTACAAAAATGACCTCGTTGCTGCTGTACCGGGTCCTGAAGAGCGGCTTGACCTGTCCGGAAATGCCATAAGCGCTGACAAGATCAGCGACCTCTCCATCTTCGCCCCATTCAGTTTCACTGCCAAAGTCTTCGTAGTTGACTGTCCATCCAGTTGGAGGTTTGACCTGTCAAGCATTAGCGATGAAGGTACATGGTGCTGGGTACGGACATTGGTGTTGGTGACGACCTTGCCGTTGACGACTTTTGTTAGAGAGCTCATTTTGTATGCAATTGGGGATACTCGAGGTTAGAAAAAAGATACTTTGGATAGATGGAAGTTGTGTAATTGACTAGGTAGCTAGGTGGTGGAGATGTGCTGAATAAATACAGATCACTCGAGATAGCGAAGAGCTACTGATGCCATCGATGAACTGGTTCACTCTTAGTGCAGAGAGTCTAGAACGGCCAGCAAGCTCATGGCTGATCTATTGCCCTGCCTATTTCACTAACTCCAAACCCGTCTCCCTTGCGGCGTCGGAGTGGCTTGTGGCTGAGGCATTCTGTAAGGAGTGTGTTACAGGAAATCATGACAAAACAGCGGATCAAGCCAATGCCGTCATAATAGGGGATTCTCGGAATGTCGACGAAAAGACAGAAGCAGTGCAACAAGCAAAGAGAATGAGACATCACGCCATGTCCAAAGTCCCCTCACGCTTATGCCCCCCTTGCTGACATACCTACCGCGTGGCTGGCTGAATACAGTACAGCGCCATCAAAACACCTCTCAATTCAACGCGCCCAGCGAACCATACGGCCCGGAACGGCACGGCACGACGCACGGTGCGCTCTCGATAACAAACCCAAAAGAGTTCATCAGCACCGCCCTGACCTGAAAACAGCTTCAATCCCCTGTAACGCTAGACCAGATTCTCTTGCCAAGGTATTTCAGCTCAGTACTAAAAGAAGTGGCGCATCCCCCGCACCCGCTGAGGAACCTCAGCAAAACGCCATTCTGCTAGGAATACGATAGTTTCGCAAAGTATTGATTGACGGCGCGTAATGATTGGCATGATCAGCGTTGAGTTGGACAACGGCTGAGAAAAAGTGGCTTGTCACGTACAGGAAGGGGATATGTGAGGAGACAAGAGAATTTTCGTGGAGGGAGTGAAAAAGCGAGTCGCCCATGGTCCCGCGTTCCTCTGGACTCGTCGTTCTAGCTCTGCAATTGATGCTTTGTTGCTGAGCCAATTGACTGGAATACACCATATTGTTGTTAAAATACTTCATTAGATTGAATCAAGATGTGGATTACAGACGCCTGCAAGGCTGTCGTCTTGTCCTTCGTGGCGGTATTCCACTACCCGTCCGTCTCAGACGAGGGGCCTCATCAAGATGTCATGACCTTCACCCACGGGCACTCCACACCAAAGATTGACTACCCATATTTCGACTCACCAAGTGGTCCTGACCAGGACGGCAAGGTCTTCACATGCAACTACACCGACCTCAAAGGCTGGAAGCCATGCACAACTGCAGATGATCGCTCGTGTTGGTTGAAAGGTCCGTATGGGCAAAACTTCACTATTAACACAGACTATGAGAACTTCTGGCCAATTGGAATAACAAGAGAGGTACGTCGCGGCTCATCAGCATTAGCTTGCTTTGCTTTCTGACTGACAACCAGTACCACCTCAACGTTACTGACCAATCCATCAATGGCGATGGTGTTGATAATCCATTCGGCAAGGTCTTCAACGGCAAGTATCCCGGCCCTTGGATTCAGGCCTGCTGGGGCGACCTCATCAAAGTCACGGTGCACAACCATCTCAAGTACAACGGTACAACTATCCACTGGCACGGTCTCCGACAACTGGAGACCTTTGAGATGGATGGTGTCAACGGCGTGACTCAATGCCCCATTGCACCTGGAGACAGTTATACCTACACCTTCCGTGCTGTTCAGTACGGTACTTCATGGTACCATAGTCATTATTCTCTGCAGTATGCTGATGGCTTGGCTGGCCCTATCACTATTTACGGGCCTTCTTCTGCGCCGTTCGATGAGGGACGAAATCCAATTCTTATCACCGATTGGAGTCATCGCAGTGCGTTCCAGTCTTGGCAGAGGGAGCTTGTGCCGAATCCTACGAGACCTATGATGAATGGTGTTTTAATCAATGGCGTGGGGAACTTTGCTGGTAGTTTCCCTCGTGAGCGGTTCAACATGACTGTGACCAAGGTGGGCTACTTGACCGCAGCAGCTGATAAGACTGTACTGACGATCAATAGGGCAGGAAGTATGTTCTTCGTGTGATCAACACCTCCGTGGATACAACATGGATCTTCAGTATCGACAATCACAACTTCACTGTTATGTCGACCGACTTTGTGCCGATCCATCCTTACTCAGTCTCTCACATTGTCCTCGGAATCGGTAAGCATATCTTCTCATTACAACCAACTGAAGACATTCTCACTGATGTCGGTGAACAGGCCAGAGATATCACATTGTCCTGGATGCAAACCCCACCAACACCACAAAAATGCCCGCAAACCCCGATGGAAACTACTGGATTCGGACCGTCGGAGCAACTCGCTGCAAGGGCTTCGAGCCAGGCAATGAGCCTGATGAGCGACAAGGTATTCTACGGTACAATGCATCAAGCAAGCTTGTTCCAACAACGTTCCGAGAGGACTATTCCTTGGAATGCCGAGATGAAGCATATGATCGACTCAGCCCGGTCTACGAGTGGAATGTTGACCCTGTCAAGATCAACTGTAAGTTACCGACGACCTTAAGATTGTATGATTCCTCTAACTTTTGACTCAGACACCAAGAGCCAGTTCGACATTGGTCTGGCGAAGTTTGCTCACAGGCCTGAGCTGATGGACAACTTCACCTGGTGGGCCTTTGGCGAGAATCCTCTCTGGTTGAACTTCTCCAACCCTACTATTCTGAATCTCAAGAACACCACATGGAATCCCGACTATGCTGTGGATCTGGTGGTACCTGACTCGAAGAAAGATAAATGGGTCTACATCGCTATCACAGCCCCTCCGGCTCCCATTCAGACCAAACCCAACAGAGCTTTTGCTCCCGTTGCTCATCCTGTAAGCCAACCTCATCCCTCCAAATAACTATCTCTAATGCGTAACAGCTCCATCTTCACGGTCACGACTTTGCCCTTCTAGCGCAAGGTACCAACTTCTCAGACCTGGACACAGGAAAGGTCAATCTCAAGTTCAACAACCCTCCTCGTCGAGATGTTGCGCTTCTTCCCGCCGGAGGATATCTCGTCGTTGCCTTCAAGGCCGATAACCCTGGTTCTTGGCTGTTCCACTGCCATATTGCGTGGCATGCGTCTAGTGGTCTGGCGATTCAGATCCTGGAGCAACAGACGTTGCTGAATAGGATCTTGGATCAGTATCCTGAGAAGATGAAGGAGGTGAATAGGGTCTGTGATAACTGGAACAAGTGGTTCAAGAATGATACGAACCTTTGGAATGCCCATATCTTCCAGGATGACTCGGGTATCTAATGGGCACAATATGAGACAGACTGGAGGTTGAGAGTCACGAGATTGACTGGATAGTATGTAAAGACATAAAGAGATTCCATTATCAATGAATGATACTGTCAAATTACTGCTAGCTACATTCCATCCACCACCGCTGTCGGTACTGACATAAAAGTCGTTTCATAACGTTCCAAGCGATCATGATACTCAAGGGTACCTCACACCAAAGACGGGCGACTCCGACTTGTCCCAATCACTCTCCTTCTTCTCATCACCGAAGATCCTCAGAGCCCTGTAAGCAACCTTGTACTTTCCAGCAGGTGCGTATCCTCCATCAGCCAACTTTCCATTCCAGACAACGGAGCCCTTGCCCATGGGGTTCCACAAAGTAGGGAAGCCAGCAGGTGCTCCCAGACTCTTGGCAGTGGAGTTACCAGAGACAGGAATCAGTTCAGCCTCAAGCTTGGCGGATCCGAGGGCGAGCTTCCATGCCAGAGCAGGAGCGGGCTTCTCGTCAGTAGCGTTCTGGCCCTTGACGGGTAGAACGAAGGTGGTGTTGGCGGGGACGGGGTTGAGCTCGTCCTTGTCGTTGGACTTGCTGATCCATGTATCATCAGAGCCGAGAACCTTGGAGTCGTGGAGAGAGCCGGTAAGACCTTGGTAGGGAAGAGACAGTGAGACACCAGTGCCGTTGACAGCGATGTATCCGGACCAAAGCGCAAGACGCTTAGCATCGAGACCCTCAGGAGGAGTTGGCATGACCTCGATGGTAACAGAGTCACCAGCGCCGACGCTGACCTTGGATTCGCTGAACTTGAGGCTGGCATGACCATCGGCAACATCGTTGGGGAACTCAGAAGCATAGATGCTGTCCTTGGCAAGAGTGTAGACGCTCTTGGTAGGAATGTGAGAGATGCTTAGATCGAGGTCGGTCTTACCAGTGTTGTGAAGGGTGAAGTTGAGAACCTCGGTGAAGTGGTCGGTGTCGTTGAAAGCCAAGCTAGAGCGGCTCAGCAGGAGGGTAGAGTAAGCGGCATCATAAGCTTGGATCAAACCACCACCTTGCTGAGGCACAGGAGCAAGATAGTCATAGAACTTAGCACCGTCGTTGAAAAGAGTAGGGTTGGAAGTAGACGACAAGAGGTTCTCAAGGACCTCAGGGTCAAGAGTACCGCGGACCTCGGCAATGAGGGCAATAACTCCAGCGACCAAGGGACAGGCCATTGATGTTCCGGAAAGGACAGCATAACCGCCCTTCTTGAGAGGATATGTCGAGAGGATGTTTCCACCAGGAGAGCCAAACTGGGGCTTGACATCGAGTTCCCAGGTAGGACCCCAGGAAGAGTAAGTGCTCACAGCGCCACCGGTAACATTGTTCTTGCTCTCCTCAAGAATGACCTTTCCATCAGAGCCATCTGACATCTCGAGAGTGACGGTAGATCCAGCCTTGAGAAGCTCAACCCACTTGGTACCAGTCTTAGCGGGGACCATACCAGCAGCAACGATACCCTCAACAGTTGAGACATCAATGGCTGAAGCACCGCTGGCAGCGTTGTTGTAGACGAGGAAGTACTTGGCACCATGCTTAGCAGCGTTCTGGGCTTTCTGAACAAAGGTACAGCTTCCACGACGAACCAAGACGATGTACTTGCTAAGATCGGGAGTATCGGCGGGATAAGCATCACAACCGCCGTTAGGGGTAGCAGGATCCAGGTTAGGAGCCCAAAGAGGAAGAGTGACGTTGCCCCAAGCAGCAGGGCTACCAGCAGTAGAGCCAAAGTCAATCTTCTTGCTGCTGTTGTCAACAGTGTAGTGAGAAATGTTGAGAAGAGAGACGTAGTCGCTGTTGTCGTAAGAAGCGATAGCCATGACTTTGTTACCGTTAGCAGCAGTGCTAGCGTAGAACATGCCGACATCACCAGAGTTACCGGCAGAGACAGTGCAAGGGACACCCTTCTCGACGATACGAGAGACGGCGACAGCCCAGGGCTCCTCGGACCAACCGCTAGGACCGCCGATAGAAGCAGTGATGATGTCGGCGCCGTCTTGGTAAGCTTGGTTAAAAGCGGCGATGAGAACATCGTTACCGGCTTCTCCAGAGCATCCGAAGACTCGGTAGGCGCCGAGGGTGACTCCGGGAGCAGCGCCAGTGAAACCGTACTCGTTTTCTTGGGCGGCAACAATACCAGCGACGTGAGATCCATGGCCTTGGCAATCCATGGGATCGTCATCGGGATAAACGGCGTTGAAGCCATCGTACTTATCTCCAACAAGATCAGTGCCGAAGGACACGAGGCAGTTGGGACCGAAGCAACCACCAAGAGCAGGGTGCTTATAATCGATCTAATAATGTCAGCCAGGGTCTAAACTCAAGAGTACAAGACTTACACCAGTGTCGACAACAGCGACCTTGATACCATGGCCAGTAATACCCTTCTCTCGAAGCTTATCAACCTGAACCTGAACGTGGGGTGAGAATGTATCAGCAGTATCATTCAGATCACGCTTCTTGAGAGGAGCCTTCATGCCAGGCGTGGCAGTCCACTCAATGCGAGGCTTAGGAATACTGTAGACCTTGACAGGCCACATGTTCTTGACCGCAGGAAGAGCCGCCATCTTGGCAGCCATATCTTCAGCGGTAGAAACATCGTCAAATTGGATAGAAACGCCCTTGAACAGGTCGTAATCAAACTTGACGCGGGTGGTGTACTTGTCATCAGCAGTTCTGTAAAACTTGGCAGTATCCTACTCTAATTAGCGGAATGACTAATGCGTGGGTGAGATGCGTACGTGGTTCTCCTCGAACTCGAAGATGTAGGCACCTGGGACGTGAGTAACAGCGGTACCCTGCTCAGTGTCCTGAACGGCAGCGGACAGCCCTGCGAAAAGCAGAGCCGTCAATCCTAGACGGACCATAATGAATGAGTGTATTGTGATAAAAGAGTGACTTGTAAAGAATGACAAACAACGCAAAAAAGAGTGTGGAGCAGTCAAAGAGTGACAGGATACCAGAACGAGTGGTTGAAGAGAAGACCTTGGCAGATCAACAGCGTTATCACAACATTATATAGGCTGCACGGAGTTTCCCATCCTGTAAGGAATTTCTGTATATGTCCAGAACAAGCAACCCCGTCTATATGCAGGAACATGTGATAACCCAGACGATACAAAGTTAAACCTGCATGACTTGCCATAAACTGCTTCAAACCACCACCAGAAGTTCCAGAGCAATTACCATAAGTTCCCTCGCTCTTATCAACAGACCTACCAGATTAAAGTTAGCGTAGGGAAGATCGGACTAGCTGATCGAATGAGCTTCTAGATGCTAGCCTTGGCGCTCAGGGGAACTGCAGGGATTAGCGTTGCAATCGCGCGGGTTCAGTATCGAATGGGGGACGTTAGGCCGTGGGACTTTTATCCAAGTGCCGCGACTCCGCTGCGTGATCCGTAATTTTAATGCTGTATGTCGATTGATAGAGCAGGTAGAGGAGGAGACCTTTTTGTCCGTGGGTTTGGGGTTTCCTATCGCGGTTAGGAGAGATGGCGACATTGCAGACGCGGGATTTCTCCGCTGATAGCGGAATCATCGTCAATCGTGGTATACAGAGTTATGAAGCCGCTGCAGTAGTAAAGGCGATCAAAGTCAATTGTGAGGATAGGCTTCGGCTTATTGAAGATCACTTTATTCTCGGGCTTTTGCGACGTATCAAATGAATGTCTCCGAGTAGGATCCTTACTCGTGTAAACCGTAATGCTGGAATAAACTTTCGTCTTACCCTGTAAGAACTCTATCTGGCGGAAATATGAACCAAACATGTAACCTAGCGACTCGCAAATCCCTTAGGTCGAAAGTTTCAAGGTTTCATCGGTTCGTTGTTGGATGTTTTTGTTGCTATATTGGAGGTGTTGGGTAATAAGAACACTGTGCAGGAATGGTGAGGCATTGCGCTGGTTTCTTATTTACCAATTATACCGATCCTTCGCATCCATATCTTCCGTGAAGACAAACTCCGTCAAGCTCGGATAAGCTTTTCTAACAATGATGCCATACCTAACACCTTTTCCTCCTCATACCTCCTTCCAATGATCTGTACTCCAATGTCAAGCCCTTTCATTGCTTCAGGATCATAGAGGCCCCGTATCCACTCATCAATCGCATTGCGCGGCGCATAATCATGTAGATAACTATGGCGCGCTTCATCAGCTGCAGCGACATATATATCAGACGATGTTGGATCCCCAGGGCTTCCAAATTTTGCAAATGGGAACGACATAGCTGTGTAGTCGAGAAAGTTCCATATCTTGGCGTAGCCAGTCCATCTGCTCGACCTATGCGGAACAGCTGTATGAGACGACACAGGACTGATTATAACGTCGACACATTCCCCATCCTCTAGACCAGCAGTCGTAGTCCATTTCTTATTGTAAGCCTCCTGTGCTGCTGTCTTTCGGCGGTTGAGTTGCCAGTATTCATACACTGATATCGGTTTGGACGAGTTGACGAGCGCCTCGACATGGGCAATCATCGGCTCGCCTGCAACAGCGACTTCAGTCTTGATATCCTCTCCACCGTCTGCACGGTAGAACTGGTCCTGAATCTCGATGCAGCTTGAGTGGTCTGCTGTACTCCACGGAATGACTTTATGCCCTGCCTTTTCGAAGATTGCCACTGCACGGCGGACGGCTTCTTGGATTTCTGGATGAGGTCGCACGACCCCATCGTCGAGAATAACGCCGATGGTGAGTTTTCGCTTCTTCACGCCCTCAAAATCGGCCTGTCGCCATGGAATTGGGACAACATTTGGGTCAAGCTTCCACGGTTCTGCGAGTAGACATTCCTTGGTCAAAGCGATGAGGTTCGGGAGCGATGGACTCATGGGACCAATTGACGAAGGAACGTGAGACTGTCCCTCATGAGAATTTGCTGCACCGGAGTATGAGAACCGACCAGAGGAAGGCTTCAGCCCAAAAAGACCGCATAGGTGACTTGGAACGCGAATTGAGCCTCCAATGTCTGTTGCCCAGCCCCCAAGTGATCCAGACATTCGCATCAGAGTAGCTTCGCCACCCGATGAACCACCTGGCGAAAGCCCAGGTCTACCAGGATATGTAGTCAATCCCCAAAGGGGGCTTTCAGTCTCGCCATACATGATACTCTGAGGTATAACTGTCTTGGTTATAATGACTGCACCAAGCTTCTCCAGAATAGTCACCATCACAGCGTTCTCGCTGGCAGGCTTGAATGAACGACCGACATAGCCCAGGGTAGTATCGACGCCAGCGATGTTGAACTGGTCTTTTACTGAAACCGGAATGCCGTGGAGAGGACCGATGAGCTTTTGGTGTTTTTGGAAATACTCATCAAGATATTTCGCACGCTCAAGTGCTGATTCAAATAGAGGTTCACTGAGGCAGTTTGTCTATAGTATATCAGCACCGCCGTATACTGAAATGTTGCTTTGGGCTTACCTCTTTGTGTGCATCAATGGCCCTACGAAGAAGTCAGCAATGACAAATAGCTTACAGTGAAGTGGTTGGTTTACCTGCGAATCGTGGCAGCGACAAGTTTCTCTGCTGTTATCTTTCCCGTCCTTAATTGTTCGAGAAGGGTAGAAATATCGGCATGTTCTGGAACGATGCTCTCTTGGCTCCCGGCGGGAAGTTGAGCCTCGCAGCTTTGGATGGCACCATCGCGATCCTCCCTTTTCTGCTTCACAGTAGTCTCCCAGTACATAGTGCTCAATCGCTTCCCTGTGATTGTAGACCAAATTTGGATATTTCATAAGAATTGAGTATCTAAAATGCCTCGTTTAAAGGGAGAGTCACCAGGCAGCTAGGCTAGTGGTTCTAGAACCGGCAGTTGATAGCTTCTCGTGATAGAGATAAGAGGGTCGCTCCGAACTCGGCACTGTATCCCCGAAAACGCCCCCGCACGGCACGTTTCAAACCCGAGATGCATGCCATTTCGCATTTCGCATCTGAGATGAAGACGGAAACCAACAGTACCTATTGTCAATGACAAAAGAGGGTATCTACATAGTCATAACAGACCTGAAGCGGACCTTCCCACTCTCCATCTTCTCAAAAGCCTCTCGGTGCTGAGTCGTAAAGTCAAACTTCTCAATGATACACTTGATACCATGCGTATGCGCAAACGTGATAGCATCCTCCGAATCTTGCTGATGTCCCGTGTTCCATCCATGGACGCTGAGGCCCTTCATGATCATGTGAACAGTATTGAATTCAACCGGTCCAAGAGGTGAGAGAACGACCAGCTTACCCAGAGCCGCAAGACCTGCTGTGAGAGGACTGACTGCCTCTGCATTCGGCGCCGTTGACAAGATCATGTTAGCGCCTCCAAGCTTCTGCAACGCCTCGCATGGATCATCTTTACTGGAGTCGATGTAATGATGAGCACCCAACTCCATCGCAAAGTCCTTCTTCTCGCTCCCGGCGCTCATGGCAACAACTGTATATCCCATCTTGGAAGCATACTGAAGCGCCAGGTGACCTAGTCCTCCCAGGCCTTGGACGGCAACAAGACCACCTTGGAGGACGCCAATGCTACGGATGGCGTTGAAGACGGTGACTCCGGCGCAGAGAAGAGGGGCGACTTCAGCTGGGTCTGCGTCGGAAGGGATTCGAACGGCTGCTTCAGCATGGAGCAAGACGTATTCAGCGTAGCCACCATCCGTGGTCACGCCGTTGATCACACCATTGTTGCACAGTTGAAACAGTCCCGATTGACAAGAGCGGCATGTTCCATCGTGGCCTTGTCACAACATCATCAGTCAGTCACCATGGTAATTTTAAAAGCGCACTGAGACTTACCGCCATGCCAGGCACCACCAACACGCTCGCCAACCCTGAAGTTTTCTACTCCATCACCAACAGCAACAACATCACCAACAGCTTCATGGCCCGGTACACGAGGAAATAAATCTCCAAAGCGACCTTGTTGCATCCACGAATCAGAGTGGCAGACGCCGCATGCAAGGACTCTAACCAAGATGAAGCCTGGGCGAGGTTGTTGAAGTTCGACTTCTTTGAGGGCTAGCTTTGAGCCACTCTCATCGAAAGATGCAGCTTGGTAGGTATTTGGGAGGGACATGTTTTCAGAGAGATTCAAAGTGTGAGATGGTATGTTGAGAGGGTCAGATGATTGTTGGAGTGTTATGATGAGACGCCGATAGCTGTGATCTCGCACTCTTATATATACCATTTCATCACCATCGCTTGATTTATCAGCTCGGAAATATTTCTTAATGAAACTGAGCCTCTGGGCCAAAAACGCCGTTACTGGGGGTGCTACCGTGTCGGTGCAAGTGAAGTTGTGTTGCAGTCGGTTTCGAGAACCGAGACCGAGAGCCGAGCACCGAAGAACGCCAACGCGCTTACCAATTGCTAAGAAAAAATACAACACAGGTTACGTACTAACACTGCGACATTCTTAAGCCCTATTAGATTAATTGGATTGAGATAGACTGTAACTACTGCATGCCAGAGGTCTCCTCAATGCCACGCTCCTCCATCAGCCAGTCAAAGTTATCCAGCGCACTAAAAGACGAGAAATAATCCCAATTACCACCAAATTCTAATCCACCAAACTCTACCATCGGTTGAGTGACAGTCTGATTATTCAGAATATGGTCAAGGACCTTCTTTATCACGCCCCTAACATTATGCGCCACTGAACAATGCGTTTGCGACGGGCATGATGTCTTGAGATATCCCAATAGAAGGCTGAGCTGCTGAATGATTGATGATCGAGAATATGTCTCGCTGGCGATGATGCTATCCTGTGGTGATATGGTAACTGGGACGGGCTCTATGAGTTCCATGCATAAGACAGCTCCAGCGAGAGTAGCATATCCCATGATCTGACTATTGTCAGACTAGCTCAAATTGAACGAGGGTGAATGGGTTTAACTTACTATCCACCGGCATTTACCTTGCAAAGCAGCCCATATATGCTTCTGGGCCCAAAAGTTCAACGTCAAAACCACCATCTCGAAACTGGTTCGCAGAAGCTCATTTCTTGGATGACCGTGCTTGACGAACAATCGCTGGAGGAGGAACATGTTCAGCAAATGATCAAGTCTTATCAGCAGCTTTGGGTATCCTTTTTCAAGGTTTATTTCTCTTATTTCTTCCTGGGCAGTATCCCAGAGAAAGTGATGAGGTAACTGCCTGTAGAGTTCAAGTTGTTTCTCTTTGAGGGTCCTATTTTCAGAGGAGGCTTAGTCATAGAGTTATTTACAAGATTCATCCGGCTTTCACTTACATGATGTATGTTATGCTGGAATGTGTGTCCTGGGCGAGTACAATTTCGAGGATCTCGTCTCTGACGAGCGCAATCATCATGCGAACGCGCAAAAGCGAGCTCGAGTAGATACGACCATCTGTGTTCCATCCATCCAGGTCTAGGCGTTGAGATTGCCTCTGGAAGGTCTCTTTGTCGGAGAGCAAGGCTGATTCTTCCAAGTCAAGTGGAGACTTGATAGAACAGAACTTGCGTGTCAGAAGAGGCGGTCTCCCAACAAAGGTTGCTAGAAACTTGTCGACTATGAAGATTTGACATCCTATACGCTTGCGGATCTCGGTCGGTACTGATGACACGTTTTGTGACGACTTGGACCGATTGTCATGGAGTCCGGAAAACGTCAACATCGCTATTGTCTCGGCGTGAAACTTCCAGTACGGCAGGCCTGGGCTGGTCAGACTCAATTATATCCAGGCGGTTAACCTGCCAATGGAAGCACTTTAGGGGGTACTTACTTGTCTCGCCATGCATCCACGCATGGAGAACAGACCGCTTGTACATCAGAAACAGCATAAGAGTACCAGAACTCCCGCCCATGTTCGCAAGAGTTATACAGGAAGCGCAGTACTCGGTGCAGTGACGTATAATCCTCTTTGACTCTTCATTTGAAGTAGTTGATAACTCGCTGAGAGCTGTGTAGAGAAATATGACGCCAACAGTTTCCCACCTTAGGTTGGGGCCAGAGAGGCTTTCTATCCATGCAACCGGGTCATCCTGATCCTCCCTCAGTGTCTTTCGTGTGTTGATACATATTTTACTTCCCATCTCGCGCAACTTTACTGTATTCGCTTTATCGCCAAGATAAGATCTGAATGTGTCCCAGGTACTAGTTAGGAGTCTATCACCAACGCTAGCCAACCAGTCATCGTCAAGGCTAACCTCAGGTCTGGATCTATACAGGAGAGACTTTTCAGGTAGTGCTTGGAGGACTTTGGTGGCCAGTTGGCTTGCTCCTTGATCCATACTTACCATGCTTTGTAACTCAGCCACTGACGGTGGAGCCGAGACTGATGGTGAAGGAGGAGCATTGGCTTCTGCAACCCAGGGGCCTTGCGCAGCTAAACTCGCTTCAGTCTCCTGATACGCCGCAGGAAAGCTTGTAGGTCCAAAAAAGCCCTGCGGCGGTCTCGCAGCAGGTGAGCTCCATAGCCCATCATCAGGTCCAAAATTCCGTGTCTGAGCTGAGGGGACCGCGGCCTCGGAGTTCAAAGCCGATGCTTCAGACACTGGTTGCTGAGAAAGTCTCGATCGAGAGGGGGTCGCTGCTTGTTCAGGCGATGCATAGTAACACGCAGATGCACCATTCGGCCGTTTCCTACAACGGCGACATATTGGATAACCGTGGTCGCACGCCACTTTTCGGCGCCGACAAGGCTCGCATGCCTGCTTTTTTCCATTACGCCGAGTAACAAGTGGACTAAACATGACGGCGGTCTGGATTGGGCTCCTGCGCTGATTGGAGTGGCTGTTGAGCGCCGAGATATGCTGTGAGTGTTGTTTGCCGGCGGAGATTGAACCTGTCAGCAAATTGTGCTGACAGCCAAGACCGAGCGCCGAGCGCCGATGCATGGGGAACAATCAGCCAGGGAATCTTACCTAGTGCTTATTCAACTTTCGTTCGGTGCCCTCAGCCAGAGCCGTGGCCATTGGAAACAGATTAGCAAACTGTCGTGCTATATACTTACATCCCTGTGTAGTTCGAGGTCGACACGAAATCCGCGAAAACTGCGACGGTATTGCTTGCGACTGTCTTTTGGGACTGGCGATTTCACACCCAGCATGTGAAGCATGCAGATACACGGCAGAGGGACCAGGGTGTTGACTGTGCCATATAAAACACCAATTCAAATTGAAAGTCAAATAATACATTAGCTATCCACCAAGCCTCATAAGGGTATTCCGTTCAATCTCTTTCCCCCATCTCAAGATATAGCCATTCCTGATGTTTTCTACCCCCAACCCCAGTTCGTCTGAAACAGCTCTTAGCAGTCCTTTACATCTTGTTTTCCAGTAAACCAGTGTATAACTTGCACATTATGCCCAAAACCAGATTTTTCATCTAAGCCTCGAAGCTTTAATGCTGCATTTCCAGAATGCAGTCAAATGTAGTAGCGGTAGGGTATTCTTTGATGGTGACGTGATCGGTGTCCAGATCTTATCATTTATAAGAGCGAGAAATGATGAAATCACATGTAACCGCCCGTGATATGCGTCAGCCAGCCTTTGACGCGTTTTGAGACTGGTGACGCGTCGTCTTCGCCGTCATCCTCAGCAGGTCGCTTTTTGGACTCATGCGTCGGCATTTCTTGAGCCAGCGCCTCCCCGGCTGGTGTCTCTTCTACTGGTATCTCTCGGCCTGGCTTCTGGTGTTCTTTTGCCAAGGTACTCATGTCGCTGGCCGATGCGCTCTCGCCTTGGTCGGGCGCATGGTCGAAATCGTAAATGGGCTCATCTGACAGTTCCGAGGATACGTCAGAGCTAAGTTCGATTATCGGCACGTGATCCTGCCTATCGCGCAGCTGATATCTGCTGCCCTCATTCGTGAGAACTTTTTGCGGTTCACGAGCTGGTGATTGTTGCCGCGGTGCAGAAAACCGAGGTAATTCCGGTTCCTCTGGTTCTTCTTGTTGTGAGTAAGGTAATGATTGCTGTTGTGACTTTGGTTTCGGTTTTGGAAGTAAGCCCGCAAGGGTATGTCGTCTGATTTCTTTGGTAGTCTCTCGCAGATGAGCGGCCAATTCACTGTGCGGATCAAGATGCCAGAGAGTGCGCTCAATAGTAGCGCGCAGCATATGAAGATTCCCTTCCTCGTGAGCCGCGCGCTCAGCAGCGGTGAGCTTGGCCATGGCAGCTTGGGCTTCTCTTCTGGTGGAGGGTCGGTAGAGTGAGCTCATGAAGTGAGGGGACGGGTGGGGACACGTGTTTATAGCGATTTAGGCGATGCCATGGGTATTTTGATTTATCTCATGCAATCTCGACTTCTGTCCTGAGTGACGATATGAGGTATTGTCTTCTTGTCATGTCTTTTGAGGCTGAGGCTGGCGTGAATAGGGTTGGACACGATCGGTAATATTAAGAGGTTGGTTTTATTTTTCAAGCGTCTCCACTCGGGGTCTTTTATTTATTATGCATGATGAACTGTCAATGCTACTGGAGCCTGAAAAACCGCGTGGTAGCATCGGGTGGATCTTGCTGATAGCGATAAGCCAATCAGCTTCATGATGACGACAACGGATGACTCATCCCTGATTGCGCTATGACGTCTACAGTTTAGGCTGGCCACTCAAAGCACCATTACTCAAGTGTTTCAGGTCCCCACTAAGCTGTTTTTAGATCATCTAGGTCAGCCTCAGGGTAGCTTCATCTCTTTACCCAATATTTGCCAGCCTTTAAAAGAGTTAGATAAGTATTTTATATATGTGACTAACAGTTTTAAACAGCTCTGCTAGCTTTCAACTGCACTCAAGTCAGTTTGTTGCGGAAAAAGCGGCCAATAAAGACATCAAAAGCGAATCGGAAGTTTGTCTTAAGCTTGTCATGTCGGGTTAAAAATAAGCAAGCGCAATCTTGATCGAACTTCATTTTCTACCAAGTAAGTCCTCACTCGCTATTCCTGACTGGGGTGTTTTCAGATGTACAAAGTAGAGACTCACATGATTTATCTATGGCGTGTAAAGACATGCCAGGTTAAATGTGTATTCAATGGGATAGAACTTTGACTAATCTAAGGTTATCACCCCTACATCAGTCCCCGTTGCTTGCTTTATCGCATAAGACACCAAATCCAACGTATCCTTGGGAACAAACAGCTCATCTGTGGTACCGATAACCTTATCGAAATGAGCCAAATAATCTTCCGGGCCCATCGCGCGAGAATGCCCAGGTACCGTAGCCAACGTCGTTCTCGCGGCTCTTCCACCACCAACACTGAACAGCTCTCCAGATATCGGACACTCCGCGCTGCACAGCGCCACGACGAAATCTGCCACGAGATGCGTATGGAAATATTCTCTCGTAATCCTCTTGATAACAGGCGACAAGTCCGACATGCGGGATGCTGCTGAGGGAAGAACACCGTTGATCTTGATCCCATGCTTGGGACTCATGCGCCCAAGATCGCGGGTCAAACCAAAGGTGGCGCCTTTGCTTGACACATAACCACCATCACCACCTGCTCCCATACCGATGAGGCTGTCAGACGAAGTATTAACTATCCTCCCATACCCTTGCTTCTCCATAGTAGGATACACTGCACCAATGAGCATAACAGTACCCAGTGCTGCAATCTCCCACGTCCGGCGGAAGGATTGGACGTTCACATTGTCGTGCGAGCTAGCTTCACCAGCAGTGCCTGCATTGTTGACAAGGATGTGGATAGTTCCGTACGCCGCTAGCGTATCTTGCACAAGCTCTTGGACTTCGCTCTGGACAGAGATATCATGGCCATCTGCGATGGCTTCTCCCCCCTTTGCTTTTATCTCGTCAACGACAGTTTGCGCACGAGATATAGTGCCGCGTTGGCCGCTTAGAGAACCGCCGTAGTCATTGACGACTACCTTTGCACCATATGATGCCAGCAGAAGAGCATACTCTCTGCCGAGGCCGCCTCCTGCGCCCTGTAAAGAGCATTGTCAGTGTCATCATAGATACAATCGTACGCGCCAAACCTACAGTCACGATGGCAACGCGGCCTTGAAGAGATGTCAATTTCGTTTGAGACATGATGAAGACTGAGCCGTCGTTGATACAGAGATCGGAAATAAATAGAATGGTAGGTGACAACCATGCTCGCCGGACTTGTTCTATAATCAAGATTTCCCCGCACTTTGGCGCTGATTATTCAGTGATGGATAGCGCGCTGTTGAGTCAATATGCCGCTAAATCTCGGGTTTAGGGGACCTCGGTGGCTTGAGTCAGCAAGCGAGTCAGTGGACTGAATCGCCTAGTGGACCCATTCGGCCAAGGATGGTTTGAGAGGCCTTGATAGATACGCCACTTATCGATGCACGATAATCTGGGGAACAGATGAACTAACCATAATCACTTCTCGGTGCGTGAAGAGTGTTGCGAGTGAAGCATTTGCGACAACATGACCGACTTCAACACAATGTTCGAAGACACCAGATTGACAGCTTATTTGATCCTATTAAAATGTAAGTCGAACTTGGAGCATACCAGAAGAAGGCATAGGCCACTGACAGGTCTTGTTCAGATTATGTGATTCCTAGGACCAGACTACGAGCCCTTATATCACGGTTTCTTGGAAAGCAAGAACCAACGCTTCAGCATATGCTCGCCAATGCCACGATCCGATGGTGAGAATTGGTGACCTTGTGTATGTTCCAGTGCTGAAATTGTGTCTAGGTTGTCATCTACGTTATCGATACACCAATTCAGAGCTCTCAGCTCTGGCCAGTGTGATGCCAATGCTCTGCTGCAGAACTGCCCAACTCTCCTCGAAGAGAAAGCCACGGCCGAAACGGTACCATATTTGCAAAGATTTGATCGCGTCCATATTCTGACGAGAACAGATCGTGGGGGACGACTATCGGGGGCATTACCTGGTCAAATATCCCAACCCGACACACATCATATTCTATGTGTACGGAGGCGGTTTTGTCAGCGGTTCGCCAGGATCCGTGATGCCGTATCTGCTGCAATTGAGCGTTGAACTTCAGGCCCGGGGGTTCAAAGCTGACATGTTTGTCGCGGAGTACGACCTCGCCCCAGAGTATCCCTACCCAGGTGCTCTTAGGCAGGTCGTCTCAGCATATCGATACATCGCCAGTCGGAATAGACCCATCATCCTGGCTGGTGACTCAGCCGGGGGCAATCTCTGTCTTGGACTACTTCGACACTTGGTCAAGCCCCACCCGAGTATTCCACCACTGACTGAGACTCAGGGGGAAACGGGAAGTGTCGTGGCATCTTGCCTGAACAGTCCGTGGGTCAATCTGCAAAACAATGGGGAATCATATCGGCAGAACGCGAACCAGGATTGTCTCGACAAGGGCGCTCTCGACCGTTGGCGGAAGGCATATCTAGATGGGAAGCCCTTGGATGAGTACGCGAATCCTATCGATTGCTTAGATGGGTGGAAGGAGGTTCTGCCCCAGAACACGCTCTTGGTAGCCGGCGACCTCGAGCTCTTTGTCGCCGACATACAAAAGCTGGCTCAGAATGTCCTCAAATTAAGTCTTCCCACCCTGCGTCTTCGGTGACTTTGAAACTGACCATTATAGCAGAGCGGCTATAATGGCCTTGAAATGCACGTCGAGCCTAAGAAAGGGCATGTCTGGAGTCTGGTTGACTTTGGTGGTACACAGCCTGGGCTACCAGCGGCTCGGGGTGGACAAGAGGAAGCTCACGCGTATTCCGGCATTCACTTACAGGCTGACTGGATAGTTGACCGATGTGGAGTCTGAGATGAGGAAGACAGTCTACTTTTTGTTTGTTTATTGGAATCGTGTGTATTTTGAACAACGTTGTGCAACAATCGATACGAATTAAGCATTGATGTATTGGGCGTGACACTTCTCTTTAAAGATCCTGCCCCCCGAAAGCTGATGGCATTGTAATCTGCTTTTTTATGAGTTCTTTGAAGTTATGGCCTATATAAGCGACCTATCTTAGTCCAAATTTGTTGTTTACCTTGGTATAAAGCCCTGAAGTGGTTTCAAGCTGTTGAGATAGAGGTAACTTAGAATTTCAATAGACAAATATGCAACGAGCTGTGTTCGGAATAACATGTAAAGCTAATATTCATTCTAAACAGCGTACTGACTAATGTGGTTACCCACACAGGGAGCATCCAAAGCCGCCAGAAACTACAAGCTATCTAACGAGCATGAGATCCATCCTAAGCAGTCTTATCATCAGACCCTGCCGCCTCGCCCAGATGAGTCTTGTGGAAATGACGTGGCTTGACCTTGGCAGCGTAGAGATCATCAAGCTCCGCAGTAGTTCGGTTCTTGGTCTCAGGAAGCCAGACCCAGCAGCCAGCAAATCCGATGAGAGTGGTAGCACCAAAGATGAAGCCAACCTTACCACCAAGGTTACCGGCATCTGGGTTGAACATGTACGGGAACACGAAACCAATCAGCCATTGAACGATACAGAGGACGATGTTGGAAAGGCCTTGGGTTCGTGAGCGAAGACGCCAGGTTGGGATCTCTGCCACGACGGTCCATGCAACTGTACCCAAGGTGATCTGGTAAACGAAGCCCTGTCGAAATCACGTTAGAACAGATATGCTGTTGAGAGGGGGGATTGTTGACTTACCCAGACGAACATGAAGGCAATGGTGACGAGGTTCGTAGACCGACTACCAGGCAAAGAAGCTCCACCAACGATGAACAACGTGATTGCACAGATAAACTGTCCCCACACAATAAGAGGCCGGCGACCAACGACAGTCAACAGGGGCCAAGAAAGGATGTTGGCGACAAACATGCTGCAGTTGTTCAACATGCTCAACAAGAAGGACATCTGTGCACCAAAGCCAGCCAGTTGATAGTAATACGACTGATATCCGAGAACAAAGATGATACCGCTGAGGTACTGGCAGCCATAGATAAACATGCTGATAAGCGTGCGTTGTCTATCAGGCTTTTGAAAGCACGATGCGTAGGAGACAGATGACGTCTCAGAGCGGTAGTCCTGCTCATGCCGAATAGTCTGCTCAATAACAGCAAGGATGGCCTTCTTATCAATGTCCTTTGAATCGCCGTGCAGACGATCGAGGGACTTGACGGCAGCGTCTCGGCGCCCAGCCCGAACCAACCAGACAGGTGATTCGGGGCAGAGCCAGATGGTGGGAAGAACGATAGCAGGGATGATCCATTGACACGCAAAGGGGACGATATAAGAGTCGGCGTCGTTTCGGGGGCCAAGCTTATACATGATTCCAGTGAAGAGCAAAGTACCACAGAACTGGATAAAGTTGGTCATAGCTGTAAGCCAACCTCGCAGCTTAAGCGGAGCAACCTCTGAAGCGTACAGGGGGCCAATGATGAGCCATGCGCCGATGGAGAGACCATTGATGGCTTTTCCAACTGTCAAAATGGGAAGAGAGCCATCGCGAGTCGAGTGGTATTGAAGGCCTACTCCAACAATAGAAATGGCGCAGAAGAGCATGTTGGTGTATCGTCGGCCGATCCTATCAGCTAACCATCCAGTAATGGCAGCTCCGAGAACAGCGGCAAGCTGAGACACGCCGCCGTAAAGGCTCTGCCACGTAGCAGGGATGATGTAAATCGTCGTATCGCCCTGCGCAAGTGTAGTGCCATAGTCCTCTCTGCAAGGTTGTCAGGTTGGGTACTCACGACAACAGATACAAGGTGACTTACCGAAACTTGGGGATCGCGAGCAGATTACCTGCAATGATACCATCTATACCGTAGCCGAAAACAACAAGCTGGACGTATAAGATCCAGAGAGTACTTCGCCAGAAAACCCGAACGCTCTGGGCGAAGCTGAGGGTCTTTTCGTAGGCGATTTGATTGGCGGCAGCTTCAGCGTGGTCCTCTGCCTGCTGGAGCTCGAGGTGTTCAGCAGTAGTCATTGCCGTAGCCTCCTTCTTCGAATCCATGACAAAGATCTGTATAAGAGTACGAGTAAAAGAGATCTTGATTCCTGCAAAAAGAAACAAGGTTCTGTTGGGAGCAAGAGAAACTCAAGAATCTCGTTATTGACAAGGGGTTTTGTAGTTGAGCACGAAACGCCACACTAATGAAACTGTGCGTTCTAGACAGCGCAGCAGTGCAGTGCTAGTGGTCAATAGGTCTGGTTGGTTACCAAAGATCAAAGAGCTACCAGCATCAACCCCATGGGGAAGCGGTCCTGGGTCATGCTGCACAGGCCACGATAGGGAACAGTTCCCCGCGTGGAGATGTTGACTCGACTGGAGAGTCAGCTTTGCGGAGTTGGGGCTGCTAACCGCACTAGCTCCAGAGTCATGGAGCTAGCTTAGTCTGGGGTATGGAGTCAACATTGGCGGTTGTCAACGCGGGGTCAGTAGCCGAAGATCTGGATTTGTCAATTGTGGAAGTGTTGCTTGCCAAGACCCTGTGGTTTATTTCTTTGCTGCTTCGTCGCAATCTGAGCTAATTTGTCCCTTCATACTCATCCTTGTCGAGTCACTCAACCATCAAGATGACAGTCTCAAACGGAAACAGCTACGCTACAACCTTCGACAACCGGGTCGGTGGTACACCTATTACCCGCGACAATGCCGCTCCTTACCAAGTATCTGAGCATATCCTATGCGCCCCAAGGAAGCTCCGAGTTGGATGTATAGGAGCTGGAGCCTCTGGGATCATGATGTGCTACAAGAAGGAGAAGGAATTTGGAGATGACATTGATCTGGTAGTTTATGAGAGTGAGTAAAGCCTGGCCCCAAATGATAGGTCAATTGAGCATCATCTAATCTCCAATCTCCCCAGGGTACCCCAAGCCCGGTGGTGTCTGGTACGCCAACAAATACCCCGGTTGCCGCTGCGACGTTCCTTCGCCCGCCTATCAATACCCTTTTCACCCAAAAGCAGATTGGTCCAAGTACTATTCCCCCGCGGCTGAGATCCAATCGTATTACGAGTCATTCGCCAGAGAGAAGGGCTATGTGGATAACTACATCAAGCTGTCTCATCGCGTCGACAAAGCGACTTGGGATGAGCCCAACGGACAGTGGATCCTGACTGTAACGGAGACCACGGATGGCCGAGAGCGAACTTTCGAGGATCGAGTCGACTTCTTGATCGCCAACATTGGCATCTTGAATACTTGGAAGTGGCCCGACATTCCTAACCGCGAGGCATTCCGTGGACACATGACGCATTCAGCGGACTACGATACCGATCTTGATCTACAAGGCAAGACTGTGATCGTCATTGGATCTGGCGCCTCTGCCATCCAAATCGTCCCAGCTATCAGGTCGGCAGCAAAGAAGGTCATCTCGTTTTATCGCACACCGCAATGGATTGGACCTGGTCTGTCCATGGAAGGCTACACAGACTCTGAGGGACGAAACTTTCTCTGTGAGTTGAGGTAAACTCGTTTGTAGGGTTGTCTAATATGGCTTTAGATACCGATGAGCAAAAGAAGAAATTCGCAGAAGACCCAAAGGCGTACTTAGAGCACCGGAAGGCGATGGAAACAAAGATCAACGCCAGTTTTCGACATAATATCGCTGACCACCCAAGCCAGAAGATGGCTCGCGATGTAAGTGGATTCAAATAAACCTTCTCAAATAGAACCTGAATCTGACATTTATTTTCCAGTTCGTGGCGCAAAGAATGGCCAAGATCCTGAAGAACGACGAAAAGTTGACGCAACGCCTAATCCCAACCTTTCCCATGGGATGCCGTCGCCTCGGTCCGGCGGAAGGATTCCTCGAGTCTTTCCACGAAGACAACGTTGGATTGGCCGAGGGCGAAATCGAGTCTTTCACCGAAAACGGACTACGCGTTACCGATGGAACAGAGTACAAAGCAGACGTCATCATTTGCGCGACTGGCTTCAACGTCAGCTTCAAGCCACATTTCCCTGTCATCGGCCGTGACAATGTGTCGCTTGGTGAAGCTTGGAAGGACGATCCAGCTGCTTATCTTGCGCTTGCTGCCAGTGGCTTTCCTAACTTTATGCGTAAGTTATCTCAGTATGGCGTTGATGCTAGGTACTAATTGACATGTAGTGGGTTCGTTGGGACCAAACTGCCCTGCGGGCCATGGATCGTTCATCACTGTCTTGGAAGCTGCGCAGAACTACATCTGCAAGATCATCAGGAAGATCCAAACAGAGAACATCCTCACTATGGATGTCAAGCCTGAGGTTGTTGACGAGTACAACGAACATGTGCATGAGTGGTTGAAACGAACGTAAGTAACCCTTCAAACTGTCAGAACACTTCGGTCCGCTAATGCTCAAGTCACAGTGTCTGGGCTGCCGGCTGTCGTTCATGGTACAACCAAGGCCGACCGAATGGCAAGATCACGGCGCAGTATCCAGGATCTCTTGTTCATTGGCGGTTGATGCTTGAGAACCCTCGTTACGAGCACTACAACATCCAATACAGAAGCCGTAATAGGTTCGAGTTTATGGGCAATGGCTTCACGTTGCCTGAAGTGAATGGTGGAGATCTGGCATGGTATTTGGATCCAGAACATATAGCAAAGCCTCTATTCTCAGAATAATTATAGATTGTTATGTCATTCATGTTAAAACTATTGTATTCAGGTAGTGTTTCCATTCCATTGTGGATATCGATTAAAGAACTCCTTATCCAGCTTCCAATTGTTCAGATCCAATATCTTGGAGACGAGTTGCTGCGGGTCATGTACGAGATCAGATTCAGACGTTGAGATTTCGACTGTGAGATATTTTCCAATGTCGGTAGAAACATCGTACACACGATCGGGATCTGACATTGACATCTGAACCAGACCTTCTCTAATCGCGGGCCTGCCAACTGTCAGTCAGGAGTCTAGCTCGTAGAAAGTCATGCTTACCATGCTATAAGAT